TGGCCTGCGGGCCCGTGACCCACACAGCTGGGCCGGAGTCAGCACAGAGCCCGGGGGGCCTCAGAGTTGCCTGGCTAAAATGCAGAGTGGGGGATCCAGGCCGTGGCAGACCCCTGGAGGTCGTGGGCCCAACGGATCTGCTACCTCGGAGAGCAGTGCTGGGTGCCAAGCAAGGCCTTCTAGGGTCCCCCACAGACCCCGGCTTTGGAGCCCCTCCCGTGTCCTGTCCTCCACAACCTCCCTGCCTCTGGCTGCACTGGCCCCCTTCCCCCACAGCTCCCACCCCCTCCATCTCCATCACAGCAGCCACCTGCATGTCTCCAGGGCCCAGCTCCACTTGGAGGCTCCAGGGCAGGTTCCCCCTGCACCCTGCCCTAGTGTTGCGCCTCCATGAGGCGTGAGGAGAGCCACCCCCAGATGGCGGGTGGTGGATGTCTGCCCCACCGAGGGGGAGAGGCAGTGTGGTTAGGAACAAGACACCAGCACCTGCGGACACGTGGGCCCCGCTCCGCTCCTTGCTGAGTGGCCAGGGACACGGCTTCCCCTGCCTCACGGGCCAAAGGGACCTCACGAAGAAGACTGGCGTGATTGTAGGCCCCGAGACAGAGCAGGCCTGCAGTGCTCATGGCAGGCCTGGGGCACCTGGACAGAGGTCAGGGGGGCCGGCGTGCAGGGACAGGGCAGGGGAGCAGACCAGAGCCACTGCATAAGGGCTTTTACCCCGAAGTGACTGGGGCCGTGGAAGGCTCAGGAACCGGCTGAGGGAAGAGGGTCACAGGTCAGGTGGTCACAGCTGCCCCTGGACTGGGAGAGCCACTGGCTAACCACCTTCCCAGCTGCCCTCAGTTCATTCTGGGGGTGGGAGGGCCTAGAGAGGTCCCCTGCTCCTTGAAGAGGGGTTTGCTCCTGGGTCCCTCCCCCAGCCTTAGACCCCCACCCCGAGCCTGCCCTCCCTGCCTTGCCAGCCCGGGCTGGTGGGTCAGAGCTCTCCCCGATCACCGGGTATGGAGGCTGGCACCATGGCACTCACCCTGACCTCCTTTGGCCACCTGTTCCCCTTCCTGCCTCTCGGAGACACCTCTCCAGGTCTGTGCTGAGGGCCCAGCGCCCTGGCCTGGTCTGTGCACTCAGTAGCCCGGAGCCTCGAAGTTGTGGGTCCAAATACCAGCCTCTCCCAATATCTGTGTGACCTGGGACACGGCCTGCTTCAAGGGTGCAAGACCTACGCACTCGCCCGGGGCCCACCCCTAGACAGGCCACAGCTGGCTGATGCTCTGCTGTCTGTCTTGGAATTCTTCATTTTTGGATAAGGGCCCTCCGTTCTTATTCCACGTGGGCCCCACAAATTACGTAGCTGACCGAGACAAACGATGCTGGGACAAGTTTCTTAACCTCTCTGAGCCTCCATTCCTCTGCCTGCAAAAGGGCCTCCTCTGGGCTGCTCTAGGCCCTGGAAGGTTAGCAGACAAGAACGTGCTTTGCCAGCTGTGAAGGGCTGTGCCAGGGGAGGCTCAACCTCTCATTCCTGCAGAGGGAGGGGGCGCCTTGAGAAAGAGCCGATAGCTCTCAGAGGCAGGCAGCTTCCACAGGGGCCGGGGGGGCTTGCAGGGCTGGAAGCAGGAGGGACAGCTCTCTGGACGGTGGTCGTGCCCTCGCCTCCTTCGCTGCCCCAGAAGGCTGGTGGCTGGACTCCAGCCTCCCTTCCCAGAGTACACCCCAGGCAGGAGTGACAGCCTCACAGCAGGCCCGCAGAACCCTGTCACCCACAGCCTCAGCAGCTTCCAGGACCAGGCCACGCCCCTGCCCCCCCAGGGACAGGGATGCACCTGCTTTAGTCTCAGCTGACTTCTGCTGCTGCACTTGGGGTGACCCTGTTGTCCAGGGAGAGGACGGGGTGCCTGGTTTCTGACTCTCAAGAAGCAGGGCCCTGAAACCAGGCCGGGTCAGTGTTAGGTTTCGGGGAACATAGCGGCGAGGCTGCTCTTCAAGGCACTCAGAGACGGCGACCAGGGTGGTGTCGCAGGCTGGTCACCACCCAAGGCCAGGGGCCTCCCAGCAGCTCCAGTAGCCTCTACTTGGAAGCCACCACAGCCCCTGCAGGTCAGCCTGTCTTGTCACTGTGCGCCTCTGTCCCCAACCCCCACCGCGTAGCCCAAGAGACTGGGGAGACTTCATGGTCACCCTTTCTGTGTGTGCCGCACGTCTGCCAGCCCCAGATAACGCTGTGGCGGCCACAACCACCCGTGTACTGTGGCCTCCAGATGGTGAGGACAGCTGACTCCACACCTCCACTCCCTGCTTCTCCCACCCCCTGCAGGCCACCCAGGAGACTCTGGGGGCCTGGCCCAGAGGCTGCAGTAAGAGACCAGGCCCTGGGCCCCCAGGGGAGGCGGGGGAGGGGCCTCTGAGGTGTGGCCTGGGGGCAGACAGTGACACTGCAGGGAGGGGTGGCGGCCAGCACACTTATGACTGTGCCGGGCTCTGGGGTGGGGCCTGGCTAGAGCTGGTGACTGGAGGCTGTCAGGTATGGGCTGGAGTCAGTCCAGCAGGTTCCACTGCCTGTGCCCCTGACCAGCCTCGAGGCCCTGGACGGACCCCTGCCCCGGTTCCTCACCAGGCACAGAAGCCTCTCACACAGCCACTCTGAGCAGTGGGGACAAAGGCCTGGAAGGCTGAGCTGGGTGCCCACCATTGTCTAGGGCAGCCGGGAGACTGAATGAGCAGACAGAGCAGGGGAGGGGCCTGCACTGGGGGTCCCCACTGTGGGTGGCCATTCAGGCTCCACCTCCTCCCGCTGTGGGCCTCCATCCACCCCGTGGGCGGCAGGCTCTGGGGGGCTGAAGCTTCGAGTCCCCCCAGGACCTCCCTCTGGAGACAGGAGGGGCCTGGCCTGCAAGCCCCTTGGAGCCCGTCTGGCCAGAGTCCTATCTCAGGATCACATGGTGTGTGCCTCCGTGCCGGTACCACGCTCCACCTCCATTCCCCCAGGGGCCTGGGGCTCGTCCTGCTGGTACTGAGTGGGGCCACCCGGCTGCGCCCCAGCTGTGCCCCAAACCCTAGCTCTGAGTTCCTTCTTCCCGGCCCCCATCCCCCCAGTGCTCCTTGATCTCCGAGGCCTGAGCGTTAATTACCTGCACCTGGAAAACAGGCTCATGCTCCGTCCCCCTCAAGGGAGGGGCTCTCCCACATGAAAGGCTGCATGGGCCCTTGGGAGGATATGTGGGCTCCTGACTTGGGGGTGGGGGTGGGATTTCCCTCCAGTTGTAACCCCAGGGAGGAAACTAGCATTTGTTGAGCAACTACTACAGGCCAGGACCTGGGCCGGGCTCGGCCGAGTTGGGAGTTTAATCCTCACCTCCACCCCGGAAGGGAAAGCTTATTGTCCTCATCAGCCAGATATGAGTGCTGAGGTCCGGGCCCAAAGGGTGCCCCACCTGGGCCACTCAGTAAGTGACACAGCCAGGGCAGCACCACTGCCCCAGGGGGTGACCTGGCAGGGAGGCAAGAGGGTGCTGGAGGGCCATGTGCCCATCAGAACTTGGCCTGCAGTGACCCGGAACCCCACCTGCATGGGTGCCCGCAGGCAGCAGCCTGCTCTCCGAGTCTGGGGACCTGGTGTCTGCAGGGCACAGAGACACCGGCGGGCAGGGCCTCCCTGCCAAGGGACTGCACACCCAAAGGCGGGGAGGCGTCCAGAATCTGCCCACCTGCAGCAGGTGGGCTGGGGCTTGTGGAGACTCATGGAGAGGCAGGTCAGGAGGGGCCAGCTGGGAGCCCCTCCTCTCTGTAGGTGGTCACTGCCGCTCCTGTCATGGCAGAAACAGTAGCCTCGAGAAGGCTCGGCAGGCCCTGAACTCGGTGCCACCCCCTCCACAGCCACCCTGCAAAACCACAGATGCACACTCGCACGCACAAAGGGGGATGCCCAGTTTCCTCCTCTCCCTGCTCTCCTCAGCCCTCACAAGTTGAAGTTCAAAGGGAAGGCACCATGAATTTGGTCTAAGCAGCATCAGGGACTCAGGGCCACTGGGGGCAGTACTTGTGTAGTCATCACCCCACCACTCATCCCAGACCCCTCCCAGAGACCCGAAGGCAGCTCACAGGAGTCAGACGCCACGGATGGACACACAGACAGAATAAGCAGCCAGGCTCCCAGGGGAAGCTGAGGCAGGCAGGCAGGGTCTCAGGTCGTAAAAGAACAAGGAGCCCGTTGGCTCTTCGCTTCCCAGCAGCCAAGGGAAGAGGAAGCCCACGCAGGCATGGTTCCCACGAGATCAAAGCGCGCCAGATGCTCGGAAGGAACCCAGATGGAAAGGCTCAGCGGGTCGGGAGCGGGCTCCTCGGTGTGCGGGCCACCTGTGCCCTGGTGCCCTGGCCCTGCCAGACCCGTCTGCAGGCCTGTGGAGGATCACTGTCACCACACGACAGGTTCTGCGACCTCAGCTATGCCCCAGCCACTCCAGCCCCTTTGAACTTGCAAAAGAGAAGAAAAACAGCCCTAGACAAGCTTCAAGTGGACAAAAACCAGACATGCTTGGCGGGTCGCTCAGTGAGAACAGATGTGGGCTGAGCCCTCATCGAGGTGATGCATGGCCTGCAGCTCCGGAAACCTCCCCTGGGGCTCCGTGGCCAGGGTGCGGCTGTCCGTGCCAGGATGAGCCGGGGAGCGCCCGTCTGGATTTGGTGCCGGAGCCAGGCAGAGCCAGGCATTGGGAGTCTGGCCTGGGTGACACTGGTCACTGGAAGTGACAGGGGCCCTGTCAGCAGCCAGCCTTGGCCAAGCACAGCCCTCTGCCATTTGCAGACACAGCCTCTGTTCAGCTGTGGCGACCCCACAGAGATGGTGTCATGCTCCCATTTTACAGATGGGAGTGTGAGGCTCTGAGAAGCCCCACAGCTGCAGGGTATCGGAGGTAGAACTTGAACTCAAGTCTCCTGTCTCAGGAAAGGAGGCGGCTCTCGTCCAAGGAGACTGAGCCTCTCTCTCTCTTCCTCCCCAGAGACGTGTGCAGTGAACAACGGAGGCTGCGACCGGACGTGCAAGGACACGGCCACTGGTGTGCGGTGCAGCTGCCCAGTGGGGTTCACGCTACAGCCCGACGGGAAGACGTGCAAAGGTGAGCGTGGAGCCGCGGGCGCACGGCCGCCTCCACTCCTGGAGCCTGGTTGGGGCTGGAAAGCAGTGGGAGGTCCAGCCGGGGGAAGGGGTGAGGTGGGCGTGGGGCTGTGGGGGCTGTGGGGCCAGGAAGCACAGCAGTCGCCTGCACATCTGTGGGGGAGGCGGAGAGGAGGGCGACTCCGCACCGGGGCTCCCCCACAGGACGGGCCCCCGGAAACACGGGTTCCACCGCGTGCCTCCGCGCTCCTGGGCCTCAGAACAGACTCTAGCAGAGAACTGAGCTGCCGGTTGGGTGACAGGTGCCTTCACTGGGGGCCTTCCCGGCCCCGTGATTCCTGGCGCTCCCGGGGGTGGGGTGCAGCCCATCCCTCACCCCACCCGCCTCAGCTGTGACAGCATGGCTCGGGGTGGCTCAGGGAGTGAGTGTGAGTCTGTTCGCACCAGGGTCGGGTTGCCTGCTGGTCCCGTTAGAAACACAAGGTCCCTGGGTGTCGTGTCACTGGAGGAGTTGCTTGGGGGTGGCTGTGAGCTGAAGAACTGAAGGGCCTCCATTTGCAGTTAGAAAACGAGGAAGGGGTGTGTCTGAGCGAGGTCCCTGGCACCTGAAGGACTGCGGCCACTGCGGCAAGTGACAGAGTGGGCTGCCTCTCCCCTGCTGTCCCCTGCCTCACCCAGAGTTGCCGAGGGCAGGAGGTGGTCTGGGCAGGGGGTGCCCGGCACGGTCAGGTCCCCTCGGGAAAGCAGGAAGCGAGGTGGCTGGGAAGCAAGAGCTGGCTGCGCTCTGGGGACCAAAGGGGCCGCTGGGCCGCGTGGGGGGGGGGCGGTGCAGGGGTCGTAGGGCGGCCGGCCCCCGGGCCACGGCCCCTCCGGGAATGAGGCGCAGCCCCTTGGCCTCCCCCTGCCGGGCCCTTCGAGTGCTGCGGGCCGGCCACCCTCCCGTGGCCACCTTGCCCGGTGGCAGGTGGGGCTGGAAAGCAGTGGGAGGGCAGTCCTGGGAGGGAAGACATCCCGGGGGGGCTCAAGTCATCTGAGGCGGGCTTTTTTAAGCCGGTAAAAACAGCACGGGACCGCCTCCATGGCCACTCTGCTGGCAAGAACCTCGTGATTATTGACAGAAATAACTGTTCCTCCGCCTGTTCATTTGAAAACGAGCCTGATCCGTAGCCCCCACTCGAGCCAGGGTGCATTCCTGGTGGGCAGGCGGGTGGTCTCTGAAGCCTCACCACATGAACTCAATGCTCAGAGGGCAGCCAAGGGCCCCCACAGTCTGGCTGTGTCGCAGCGGGCTAGCCGCCTGCCCTGGGAGAGGGGCAGGAGAGTAGAATGAGGCGCCTCGGCCCCTCCGAGGCGTGGTACCGACCCAGGGCCAGAGGGGCAGCACGGCTCTATTCCTGAGGTGAGGCGGGGGCTGCCGGGAGCCCGAGGTCTGGGCCGGAAAGCGGCCCTAGCAGAGCATGGAGGGGTGTCTCTGACTGCTGCCCCGCCCGTCCCCACCGAGTGGCCCAGGGCATCCATTCCCACCGAGCCCCCGCTCCGTGTCTGGGGAAGGTGCTGACCCCGGCCGGCCCCCTTCCCCGGAGGCAGGACGTGCTCCTCTCACTGGTGCTCCAGGCCCCCGTGTGCGCGGGTGCTGGGGACACGGGCAAGAGACGCAGTCCCTGTTCCTGGCACCCTCTGTCAGGCGCAGGAGTAGATGTCCCCCTTCACCGTCAACGAGGCAGATGTGCACGGACTGCCTGGTGCTGGTCGGAGAGGCAGAGCGCGGCCTGGCCGGGCGCGGGCAGGCGGAGGGGCCGAGGCAGGGCCTCGCTCCGGGGCGCGGGGGTGCGTGCAGAGGCCCGGAACCCCAGCCCCACAGGCGGACAGTGTGCCCAGGCCTGGGGAGACGAGGCCAGGCCAGGCCGGTGGTGCAGGCCTGGGGGCTGGGGCTGGGGCACGGGTGGGCCCTTCATCCTCCCAGCCTTGGCCAGGCCCCAGAGGTTTTCATTTTGACCCATCCCCTGGCCACTGCTTGGCCTCTGGGCAGGGTCTGGAAGAGCAGTGAGGCAGCTGCTGCCATCCCCAGGCTCCAGGTGAGAGTGACTTGGCCAGGGTGGCTGTGAAGGTGGGGAAGAGCAGCCTGGGTGTTGTCTGAGATGTTAGAAATTACAGGTCGGGGGTTTGTCAGGCACTGCGCGACAAGGACACCTAGCACCTCGGGGGCCCTGGAAACCAAACCTGACCCCTAGACCCCAGGGTCTGGTGTCTCAGAGACTCGGGCTCTCGGCCCAAGTCCCAGGGTCTGGCTGGAGAGGTGCCGTCAGCGCGCCAGGGCTTGGCTGGGGCCAGCCCAGCTGGGGGTTGCAGCAGACCCTCGGCCCTGGCTCTGAGGTCCAGCTGTCAGTCGGCCTGTACATCCAGGCCTGGCCAGGACAACTTCAAAGGAATGACCTTAAAGATACAGTGTTTTCTGGAAGCCAAAAGCCATTGTTAGGCAAGACTGACAGCTGGAGGTTAGGTAGCAGAGGTCTCAGCAGGCCAGAGGACCACAAGCTCAGGTGGAAGCCGGCTGGGATCGTGGGGGGTCTGGAGGGTGTGCCCCAAGCCCTTGTTCTGTGTCAAGGGTGTGGACGGGGCAGGGGTCCTGCCTCGAGGCTGCATCCACTGGGTGCTGGGAGGGTGTCTTGCCAATGGGGCCTTCCCAGAAGCCTCCGCTCCCTGAGCCTGGATTTCCTCAGAGACACCAGCCACTCCCAGCACTGTCTGGGACAGTTCGAGAAGCCCACCCACCACCAGACCCCTCTCCTCCCTCACCCGCCTTCCGCCCAGCCAGCCCAGCAGTGTGTGCTGCCCATGAGGGGTGGCCAGCCCACTCCTGGGCCCTCCCACTGCTCCCACCCAAGAGCCCTCACCCTCGACCCCTGGGTTGCCAGGCTGTGCCCCTCTCCCACCCCAGCCCCATACGCACTGACCCTTGAACACACCGGTGTGCGTTTGAGCATTCCCCAGATGACCCCACCCTCCTCTCTGCCACTCCAGCTGCTCCCCGTACCCGACAGTGGGCTCCCCTTGCAGTCCCTCTGAGCCGGCCTCATGCCAGCCCTGGTGCCTGACACCCAAACCCTCAGTCGTGGAGGTCCTCTCATCACCCTGAGGACAGGCCCTGTGACGAGAGAGCAGCTAACTCTCCACAGTCATGGGAGGCTTCCGGAGGGGCCTCCGTTCCCAGGGGCAGGCTGCGCCGGGAGCTGCACCTAGTGGGGCAGCCAGAGTCCGGGCTGCCAAGGCAGGAGCCAGGCGCACAGGAAGCGGGCGAGGCAGCCGGGCCGGGCTCGGAGGGAGGGGCCGAGGGCCTCTGCGAAAGGGGCTAGGCCTTTCCTCGGGGGTGTCGCGAGGCCCTGAAGACCTGTGGACAGGTAGAGGACTTCCGGCCACCTGGTGAGGGCTGGGTGGGAGCCCAGTGGAGAAGGAAGGGAGTCTCTGGGGACAGGAAGTAGGGAGAAGACTACACCCCCGGGTGTGCCCCATCAGGATGAAGGTTGGTGGCCACGAGTGCCCCGCACTCTCTCACTCTGTCCTGGGCCAGAGATGGGGGGCACTTCCCTGCCAGCGACCAGCCCGGGCCTCACCAGACATGCCTCCCACTGCCTGTCTGGTTGCCATGACGGCTCCCTAGCTGACAGGCCCAGACCGGGAAGGGAGGCGTCGGGGTTCCCGGAGGCCTCGGGCATTCCTGAGGAGGCCAGCCTCACGCAGCCCCGTCCGCAGGCGGGGACCCGAGGCTCGGAGAGGCGATGCCCTTCCCGGCCCGGGACCACGCGGCTGGCCGGGGCAGAGTGGAGACGGGCCTTCGTTGCCCTGCAAGAGGCTTCTCATGAGGAGTCCCCGAGCTTCCTGTGGTCCCCAGGGGAGGGGATGGTGGAGATGCCCGGGGTTCTGCCCTCCCTGGCCTCCCTGTTTGATTTCTCTGGAGGCTGCACTGGAGAAGGCCCGTCTGGAAATGGGGCGGCTGGGCCCGAGCGCAACTCCCGCATGTAGCTGTGACCTCCTCTGTGAAGTGGGAGATCTGGCCCCCAGTGCTGTGAGGATCACCGGAGACCTTGCCCGAAATGGCTTGTTGTAGTCCCCACACGAGGCAGTGCCCAGCAGGTGATGTGACCGCAGAGGATCCAGCCGCCCACTGGGCGTGGGCTCACCCCAGACAGCTCTGGTCCTGAAACGCGGGCCCCAGGCCGGGTGCAGGACTCCCAGCGCTGAGAAACCCTTGGTTTTAGTCAGTGTCTCGGCGCACACACCCAGAGCAGCAATGCTGTGTTCAGGGAGCTGAAGTCCCGGCCAGTGGCAGGGCCAGAGAGCTGGGGTTCGGGACAGGCGACCTTCAGGATGCAGCTGCACTTGTTGAATGCTAAGCGAAGAGTCAGCTGAGCCAGCAGGCGGGCGTTGGGGCGGGGCAGCAGGAAGAACCAGACCGAGGGGTCAGGCAGGGTCACCCGATGGCAGCACCTCCAGCCAGGCAGTCACTCAGAGTCAGGGAACGCATGCAGGGCACCAGGGCCTCAGGGACCCCACTTCCATTACACCCTTGGCTCCTGGGCCGGGAGTCAAGGTCACAGCCATCAGGAGCGGCCTGTCTGCCCAGTCCCAGCTGCCCTCCCGCTGCCTCCCTCAGCACACCGGGGAAGGGACACGGCTGTCACCGTCCCCGTTGTCATGCCTGAAACAGCACACATCGGTTCCCTTCCCTTTTGTGATTGCAGCCATCCCGGTGGGGAGGGGCAGCACCCAGCCTGCTGGTCCCCACCACTAGGAGCCGGGACCCCAGCCCTGTGCTCAGTTGGGGAAACAGGCCAGCACTGGGAGGTGGGCGGCAGGGAAGTCAGGGAAGGGCAGGCCATCGTCCGGCTTTGTGTCCCAGTCTCCTCGCCCCTCCCGCTTGGCTCCTGCAGACATCAACGAGTGTCTGGCCAACAACGGGGGCTGCGACCACTTCTGCCGCAACACCGTGGGCAGCTTCGAGTGCGGCTGCCGGAAGGGCTACAAGCTGCTGACCGACGAGCGGACGTGCCAGGGTGAGCCTTCTCCGTGCCGGGCAGCTGTCCACTCGGGGACATCCCTGGGCCTCTCAGGCCCCTCCTGCCTGGGCTTGTGCAGTCTCCTGGGGGAGGAGGGGAGTGCAGTGGGGTTGGTCCACCATGCTGCCTGCGCCTGAAGAAGCAGGTGCAGTTTGGGCCCTTAGCACGTGCCCCTGTGTGTCCTGTCTTCCTTGCCCTGTGTGACTCCAGGGGCCCTCAGAGGCCGTCCAGCCCAATCAGTTCCTTTTACTGAGGCCCAGGGAGAGATCAGCAAGTGTCCCCGGTACACAGCCAGTGGGTGTCAGAGCTTATCAGCTCTGTGTGTCCCTCACTCCCCGCTGCCCCCCTCCCATTCAGCAGCTTTGAAGTGGGGATGCTGCCATCTGGTGGAAGGAACATCACATTGCAGGCGGGCGCTCTCCAGTGGCCCTTTTACAGGGTCCCAGGAGCCTGGCAGGAGCAGGGGTAGTGGGAGCAGAAGTGTGGGCAGAACCAGGAATCAGAGCCCAGGACAAGCCCAGCAGACATCCAGGATTCAGTAAGAGCCTGGAGGATGAGCAGTGAGAGGGGCCAGGGAAGGCGTCCCAGGGAGGAGCCGGGGAGGTCCACCCACTGCAGAGGTGGCACAGTGCGGCTGAGGGAGCTCGGGTACCCGGAGGGGCCCTGTGGGACCAACTTTGGGAACGAGTGTGTGGAGGGCCCAGAGGCCTGTGTTGGGGAGCGGCCGACGCCATCATGGCCTCCCTGCTGTCCAGTTGTCTGGTCCCCAGGGGGTTCCAGTAGCTGCTGGCTGCACACGGCCAAGCCTGGCTGCGAGACTCACAGCTTCTGGCTGTTAGTGCCGCTCAGAGCCTGGATGGGGGCAGCTCGAGGCCCTGAAGGATGAGGGGGGTGCTCCCGAAAGGAGGGCAAAAGCAGGAGGCAGGTAGGGGTGGGTGGGTGGGGGCACCAGTCCCGGGGCTCTTCACACCCGGGCCGGGGCTCCTCTGTGGGACACGGGTCCGCTGGGAGCACAGCGCCTGCCCAGGCGCAGACCAGGCCCCGCGATGCCTTTGCCTCCCACCTGCATGGCATTCCCTGCGCGGCATTCCCTGCACTGCTGGACAGAAACCAGTCCACAGCACAGCTGAGCGGGGGTGTTAAATGGCAGGCGCCCCTAACAGCCCTTCTATTCAAAGTGTTCCTGCCCTGCCCACCTCCAGGCAGATGTGAGGTGGCTCCTGACCCCGAGACCTAGGTAACAGAGACAAGACAGGGAGCCAGGCAGTGACGGCAATCGATTGGCTGGCCAGCAGGGCCCAGGGTCCGGGCCCAGGGTGGGGCCTGCACAGATGCGCGCTGCGGAGCTGAGTGACGGGCCGAGTGATGGGGCCGTGCCCGCCCTCCCCTCCCTGACACCCCTCCCCCTCTCCGTCTCCCTGCGGCCCCGCAGACGTGGACGAGTGCTCCTTCGAGCGGACCTGCGACCACATCTGCATCAACTCCCCAGGCAGCTTCCAGTGCCTGTGTCACCGTGGCTACATACTCTACGGGACCACCCACTGCGGAGGTCTGCAACCTGCCCGCCAGGGCCACCTCCCCCCCGAGGCACGCGCCTGGCTGCACGGCCACCCACACTGCACCCTACACCCTGACCCTGACAGGCCTGGAGGGACCACACCAAGGCTGGGGATGGGCAGGCAAAGGCTCTCAGCCAAGGGCAAGGCAGAAGGATGGGGGGAGGGGACAGCAAGTCCCACAGGGCGCTGAGCCTGCACCAGGCTGTGGGCATAGGCCTGGAAAGAGCAGCTGCAGGGGCCTGGTCTGGAGGGTGGTGGCCAGCGCACAGAGAATCCCATAGATGGTCTGTTCCAATGGGAGATGTTGACAGCAGAGAAGGGCAGAGTAGGGAGAAGAGTTTGGGTCCGGAGGAGAGTAGGCTTGCTGGAGGGAACAGCACGTGCAAAGGCCCTGGGGCAGGGGGTACACCAAGGGACCAAGAGGCAGTGGTGTGTGTAGAACCCGTGAACAGGGTGGGAGTTGCAGACATGGTGGAGACAGGGCTTCACGAGCCCCCAGGGGCCTTGGGGTTTTACGCCCAGTGAGAAATCACTGGAGGCTTTAATCAGGGGTGTGACAAGTTGACAAAATGAGGTTGCTCTGGCTTCCATGTATTCAGGAGAGTAGAACCCGGGGCGTCAGTGAGTAGGCAGCTCCAGACATGGGGGCAAGAGCTGCTGGAGCTGGGCAGGGTGGGTAGGGAAGGGGAAGGTTCTCAGTGAACTTAGGAGCCACAGACTTGGGACTTGGAGATGTACAGGCAAGGCCATGCAGAGAACGGACCTGCAATCCAGGGGTCTTCCTCTCCTGTGACCTGGGAGTAGCCACTCTGTCTGTGGGGCGGCTGTGCCGGGTGGCGCGGTGACCACGCACAGCTGTGCGGGAATTGGCTCCTGGGGTGGGCTGCAGGCTCTACTGCAAGGACTTCCCAAAACCTGGGCGCCGGCTTCCCTGGGCCCGCCACTCCCCAGTGCAGGTAGCAGGGGCGCTCATAGTCACACTCCCCTGGGTGAATGCAGTCCAGCCCCCCCACTCCAATGGGTGCTCTTGGTCTTTGGTGGTCAGAGGAAGCTACAGACATGGAGGGGGACAGCTGGGAAGGGCTTGTCCCGAGTCCCAGGGTGACAGGAGCCTAGCGGTCTTGGGCCAGCGCTCACTCCTGTCCCAAAGACCTGATGGGAACTTAAATTCTGTGCCACTTCACTGCCCATCACCTAGTCCATGTGGGAGGGGTGTGTGCCGGTGTCTGCGGGAGCCCTGTGTGCACGTGTGCACGTGTGGTGTGTGCACATGTGCATGTGTGTGGTGTGTATGTGTGCCTGGTGTGAGCACATGCATGTGTGCTTGTCTAGTGTGTGACGTGTGTGCACGTCTAGTGTGTGGTGTGCATATGTGCATGTGTGCCTAGCGTGTGGTGTGTGTGGACATATGCATGTGTTTTTGTCTAGTGTGTGTACATGCACACACTGATGTGTGGTGTGTGGCTGCATGTGCACATGTGTGTCAGCGTGTAATGTGTGTGACCGCACACCTGTGTGTGATGACAGTACCACCCTGGGATCAGGGACTCAGCCCTCCTGTCCTGAGGGCATGGCCTGGGCTGGCCCGTCCAGCTCCCTCCTGCCCTCACCCCCACTCACCTGCGCTTCCAGACGTGGACGAGTGCAGCATGAACAACGGGAGCTGTGACCAGGGCTGCGTCAACACCAAGGGCAGCTTCGAATGCGTCTGCCCACCAGGGAGGCGGCTCCACTGGAACCGGAAGGACTGTGTGGGTGAGTGTCCTGGAGCAGCCATCGCTGGGACCCGCCCTCCCACCTGGTGCTGGTGGCAGGGGAGGGCAGAGGCTCCTGCAGGTGGGTGAGGGGGGCCAGGCCCACCGCTTCCTGTGGACTTCGGGGTCACCAGGCAGACGCTGTCTGCTGCTGGCACGTGGCTGGTGGGAATGAGGCTCATGGGAGCTGAGGGGATGCAGTGGCAGAGCGCGCTCAGTGTCAGCGGGCACACAGACACACTTTGGGGGGTGGGGGGCAGCACGCACAGCCAGGCTGTGGGCTCAGGAGGCCCTGGAGGCTTAGGGTGGGGGCCTCAGCTCCCACTTGTCCTACCATGGAAGCTGAGGAGGGGAGGGTGTTTTGGGGTGCAGCAGCCTCAGAGCCTGGCTGGGAGCCCCTGGGATCACGTGGTCTCCGCAAACCCACCACCGCCCGGGGCTGCAGCCCCACAGCGTCAGGGAGGATGGCAGGGCAGGCCTGCTGGAGCATGGGACCACTCATCTGCACCGGTGCACTCTGGGTGCTGGACCATCCCCCACATTCACCAGACACGTCCTCACCACCAGGTGTCCAGCCTGTCCCAGGGGCTGGGCTGTCCTTTCCCGGGGTGGCCAGAGTGAGCGTTTCAGGTGTGGGTCCAACCGCACCCCTCTCTGCGCCGAGCCCTCCAGGGACTCCTCCGCACAGAAGCAAAGCCAGCCATCTGTCACAGGCTGCTGCACCCTGGCTGGCTAGCCTCTCCATCCTCTCCCTCCTCTGCCCCCCACCAGCCTTGCAGAGCTGTGGTATGGCTCCCCCACCTCAGCACAGGGGGCCCGGGCACTCCTCCCAGCCTGGAGGGCTCCTTGCATGCCACAGGGTTGTCCCCCAGCACGAGCCCAGGGCAAGGCCTACCACCTCTGTGCCCTCAGGGCCCCTTGCTTCCCGCTCTTCCCCCCTCCTGCTGCCCTTGGAGCCACCGGGCATGGCAGCTATTCCACACACGCCTGCTGGGCTGGCCAGTCCGCCCTCACGCAGCGTGTGCCCTACACGGCCAGGCAGGTGTCTTTGGTCTGTTCGCTGCTGTGCCCACGGCACAGGACAGAGCCTGGCGGGGCAGCACTCAGTGAATGTGTGTCGAATGAATGAACGTGTCCAGGATGAACTTAATACGGGAAGTCAAAGAGCTGAACTTGCTACCTACTTAGGTAAGAATGGCTGTGCCGTTCAGACAAAGCCTTGCTGAGCAAAGCAAGCTGCCAACCCTCTCCACAGTTTGGGGAGGAGCTCGTTTGGGGTTGTGTTGGTAACAGGAAGGAATAGGTGGGGTCAGTCTGTGGAGCACACACAGCCCGTGCAGGGCACCAAGGAAAACCAGGCTCAGAAGCCTGAGCTCGGGTCCTGCTGGGTCTGGTGCCCACCTGATACTGGAGCTCTCGGACCTCAGGCTTTCTCCAGGCTCGGCGCACGGAGGGCTAGTCTTTGTCTCTGTCCCCCCGTTCTGTCGCCCTCCCTCAGTCGGAGCGGCAGGCGGGGCCACCAGGGCTTGTCCGGGCCTTCGGCGCTGCAGCCACCCCTCTGTGGACAGTCCTGATATCAGGCAGGTGGTGGTCAGGGGGGACTGCACCCCACTGTGGTCTCTAAGTCGCCTGCTGGGCTGGGGCTGTGGAAGTGGTGAACTTTCCGGACAGTAGGTGTGGAGTACCAAGACAAACGCACTATGGAAGGTGTTCTTTAGAAGCTTCTGGAAGGCCCTCTAGAACCATGATCTGAGAGTTCCCAGGACTGACCCCCCAAACTGGGCCCGGCCTCCTATGTCTTGTCGTTCGGGCTGCTTCATCCTAACTTAGCCCCAATGCAGACTGTTGGCCTCACCTCTGCTGGGAATCCAAGTTCAAAGTGAATTGCTGGCAGCAACTCAGATGCCCCTGACTGGCCTGAGAAAGCCCAAGGTCACCCTGTTGCCTGCGACTAACTGCAGGAGGTCAGGTGGTCTCGTGCCCCCGACCATGCCGAGGGCTGTGCTGCTCCCGTTGGCGCCCAAGTGAGGGGCGGTGTTTTGACCACCACTTGGAGTTGTCAGGTTCCTGCGGACAGGACCGACGGCCTCGGCAGGCCACTTCCCCAGGCACTGTTGACGTCCCCAGAGATGGGCCCTTGGTGCTTTGTAAGAAGGCGTCATGCACCAAGAGTGCCGGGGAGGCCTTCCCTGTCACTGTGACCCTGATGAGCCAGACTCCCAGGAGGGCAGAGGCCGGGGCCTGTGGGTGTCATCATGATGTACCGTCGGAACCCTTGAGGGATGGCAGCCCCTCCCCCAGAGCCAGGGCACGTCCCTGCTCTTTGTGTCTGGTCTGCAGAGACTGTCGTAACCAGTGAGTTCAGTTTGACACCTTTTTTCATTGCCGGCTTCCCGAACAGTAGCTTGGGAGGACCGACTCAGACAGCCGGGGAGTGGGGCGTCCTGGCCAAGACAGAGGCGTGAGTGGAAACACTTCACTTCCTCATGCAACAAAAGGACACCAACCAACTTAGAAACAAAAAACAACCAGGGCTGCCAGAAATTCAAACTGCAGGGAAGTCCGACAACCAAGGCGTTGAAGAAACACCCCCCCAGACTGAGGCGAAGGAAATCGCCCATCATTCCAAGTGGAGGGTCTGGGGCAGGAGAAGTGGTCCCGGCTAAGCACGCTGTGCGGTAGGTGCTCTGCCGCTGCGACCAGCTCTGCCAGCGAGGCGGATGTTGCAGGAGAGGTCTCAGCCTCCGACCCCGACGTGGACTCTTTGGGAGTCAAGTGGGAGTGCAAGACAGCGGGGAATAATGGCCGCTGTCTGGGGAGTGCAGTGAGGTTGGTTTTGATAAGAGATACCAACGAACCATCATTGGCGCCAACTCGAGAACTTACCTTTTAGAGAAATCCCGAGAGGCGTTCAGGCAGGAGAGAGAAAAACCACCTTACCTTCATCGTCGGCGTTGTGCCTCAGCAAAGTTACCTGGATTCAAGGTGCTGCAATCAGGGCGAGAAGCAAGGTGGTCGTCCAGGGTGGGGGTCGGCAATGCCGGGAGACGGCACGCACCGGACAGGCCTGCCCTCGGGCCGGGAATTAGTGGGTCTCGTCGGATGGGCGTTTTTCGAGTCCTGGCTGGCGTTCTTCACGGCTGTGCGTGGGGAGACCCCGCCGTGCAGCCCTGGCAGGCTCGGGGCAAGCTCAGTGTGATGGCAGCAGACCTGCATTCAGATCTGTGGATTCTTTATGGAAGAAACACGTTTAAAGTCTTTCTCTTAGCATTGTTAGAGAGATGTGAAATCTTGAACTGAAAATAAACAAATATGGATACCAAACAAAAAGAACTAGGATGGCAGTTACATCTGAGTAAAGCCCAGATGCAGGGGAGCTGTCGGTGCGTGAGGGACACGCGATCGGGCACGTCAGACGTGTGTGGCCTTGAGTGTGTGAGGCGTGGGAGACCGAGACCACAGGGACGGAGAGCAGAGCGTGCGCCCAGGGGAGCACGGAGATGAGCAGACGCCGGGAGAGCCTGCTCCAGGGGTCCGGGCGAAGGCGGTCTGCTTCATGCCGTTGCCCCCCTCCCGCCCCCGTCCTGCGGCTCTGGGACAACGGCTGGTTTCTGGGAACCGTCTGTGCCTGGAGGTTCTCGGAAGAACCTAGGATCACACCCTGTCACGGGTGACTTTACGGTTCTGCAGCGTTTCCTCTTCCAAAGCATCAAGGACGATGAGGACAGCGAAGTCTCCACGCGCTTTATGAGTAGCTCTCCCAGTCAGATGTGCCTGCTTGTCACCACAGCAGCCAGCACATCCCGGATAAGGAACCCAAACTCCGAGGCTGCCTGGGCCCCTGTGAGTGCCAATCTTCGTCTCGGCGCCGTCTTTGCAGCCACAGAAGCACGAGGAACAGTGTCGGCTCACCGGGAAGCACATACACTATAGCTGCCGTGCGCTCACGACCCTCACAACCCGGGACACCCACCAGGACGGGCTCGGCGGCCCGAGGGCAGCCCAGGTCACCAGGGCGGGCGTCTGTCTGTGGCCACTCCCTTGGGGAACTGAGAGCAAGCGCAGGCAGCCCTTGGGGGAGCAGATGTCTCCCGGGAAGCGGGTGGGTGGCTGCCCTGTTTCTTCACCAGTGTGGACCTGGGTCCCTGCGACGGCCCAACTGGCTCACGTCCTCTGCAGGCGGTTTTAGGGGTGGTTCTGATTTGCCTGGAACAGAGGCGCTGGGCCTCGTATTTACGGGGTAGCCAGATGTTTTATTGGGGGACAGTGTGTTCATGTTTCTGGATCATTTACTTTCGGAGGCTTCTGGAAAATGTGCGGCCACAGGTTGCAGATCATCCCAGTTGGCAGTTTCCCACTCCAGTTTGTTTCACCAACAAGGCCCCTGTGGCAACCTGCCCGGACCCCCAGGACCAGAGTGGGACCCCCCCACAGGCAGGCTCCCTTAGCCCAGGCGCCACAGCCCCACTGGACCGGTCCTGACCGGTCCCGGACGGCAGGACCCCCAGTCTGTTCCTGTGAGTCTGGGGACTGCCTGAATCCCTGGAGGATAAGTAAACACAGGAGGAACTGGGAGACCTCAGCTTGGGACATCTTCAGACGCCGTGGGGGTGCGTCCAGGGGCTGCCCCCGGGGGGGGTTCCTAGCAGCCCCCTGTGCTTCCAGTCGGTCACTGTCAAGAAGCCTGTGTCCCTTTTCAGCTGTCCCTTTCCCCAGCTGGGCTTAGACACCTGCTCCGGAGGACCCTGCCCTCCAGAGCTCCTGGTCTGGGCCTGGCCCGGTGTTGGGAGAAGGGAGCAAGCCAGCTCTCTGAGCCCCACATCCCCACGCATCCCCTGCCCTCCAGCGCCATCTGGCTGTGGCACAGGTGCGGTGGGAGTCCCCTGTGGTCCATGCCCACGCTGGCCCCAGGGAGTCTCATGTCTTCCTTCTCCGCAGAGACGGGCAAATGCCTTTCCCGGGCCAGGGCCGCCCCCCAGGCCCAGCTGTCCTGCAGCAAGGTGGGCAGCGTGGAAAGCTGCCTCCTCTCCTGTCCAGCTCCCACCCACTTTGCGCCAGGTACCCTGAGACTGTTTCTGGGATGGGAGGGGGCGGCCGCTTCCTTCCCTGGGCCCACACCCTACCCCTGCTGGTCTCCAGGAAGGGCCCCAGATGGGAGGGGCGCCCAGGCCCCCCTCACTACCGGCCTCTCTGCAGACTCGGAAAACAGCTACAGCCTGAGCTGCGGCGTCCCCGGTCTCCAGGGCAAGACACCGCAGAAACGCAACGGCACCAGCCCCAACGCCGGGCCCAGCTGCTCAGGTAGCCCCTGGCCTGTCCATGCAGCACACACCTGGGGGCAGCCTTTGGCTTGGTGTTCGGCTCCATGCTGGGGGCCATGGGAGGGCCTCAGCCAAGAGAAGAGCTTCCTGGGCCTCCGCTGCTGAGAGCAGACCAGGGCCCAGGAGCGAGCAGGCTGTGGGAGGGCCCTCCGACACGGCAGAGGCTGAGGCCGAAGCACCAGGGCGGCCCATGGCCCGGAGGCACTGGGAGTTTGGGGGTCCCTGAGTCTGTGCAGTGAGTGTCATCTGCTGGGGCCACTGGCTCTTCCCGAATCAGAGCTGCCCCGGAGGTGCTGGGTGCACATCACTCGCCTGCCCCGGCTCCATGGGCCAGGGCCTGGGCAGCTGCCCCTCAGTAGGAGCAGGGTGGTGTCGGCTGCACCTTTTCCCGTCCAGGGTGCTGATTCACCGGCATGGGTGCGTCTGTGTGCCTGACACATCCCGGCAGGGCTCTAAAGGCTCTATGGTTGCGGGTTCCCTAGTCCAGGGGCTGCGGTTCCCCCTGCAAAGGAAGCAGTGGTCTGGGCACCTGCAGTATTTCAATCCCCCTCCTCTTCCTTGCTTCCCTCTTTCCTCTGACTCCTGTCCCGAAAGCTCAAGCCACGCAAACTGGCTTTGGGGTCGGGATGGAGGTGGGAGGCTTCCCTCTCCTCCTCCACAGGAGATTCTGGCTGGATGGCCCCTGGCTGGGTCTCGACCCCACCATCCGACCTGTGCCTTTTCTGGCCTTGCAAGGAGAGGGATGAGGCAGCGGAGGTCCCCACCCAGGTGCTGGTAGATGGGCCCCCAGCAGCGCCCCACGCTCAGGCACGCCCTCTGCAGCACCCCCGACCTTCCCTGCCACAGAAGAGGCCACCACCCGGGCGACTTTGGCTTTCCCTAGGTGCCCCCACCACCCCCATCAGGCAGAAGGCCCGCTTCAAGATCCGAGATGCCAAGTGCCACCTCCGGCCCCGTGGCCGGGAGCCAGCAAAGGAGGCCTTGAGGCAGCTGCTGCTGGGTGAGTGGGCCACCTGGTGCCAACCCACGCCAGGGGCAGTGGGGGTCCCCCTGCCTGGGAGCCGAGACCCAGCGTCCAGCAAGCCTGGGTCCCCGGGGGTGGAGCCTCTCTGTCCTTGTCACCATGGCCACTTAGCCACAGCAGCCACACTGGGGTACTGCAGACAACAGCAGTGTCCCTGGGGAAGGCAGTCAGCAGTAAGTGGAAAACTCGGGTCCCCCAGCATCCCTGGGTCCCTCGTCCCTGCCTCACCTGGAGTTAACGAGCTCCCCAGAGCAAGGGCCCTCTGTCCAAGTGGCCGGGACCCCGGGGCTCACTCCACAGCCGGTCCCCCGGTGCAGGCAGCCCTGAAGAGTGTCCAGGCAGGGGGAGCAGGCACACCTCCCAGCTCTGCTTCTGTGAAGACAGCTGAGCCTCTAAGGCTGCCCCTCAAACTCGGCCGCCCTCGCACTCAGGAGGCCCAGCCCTGAGGCCGAGCCACCTGAGCCAGAGCTGCACCAGGAATATGCAGGCGGTGTCCCCCTGTGATGGGCTCAGAGGGCTGGGACAGGGCTGGGTCAGCCGCAGGCCCCTCATGAGACCCGGATCCCGGCCCGGCCTTGCCTAGCCCCAGCTTCCCCGCCTGCACCGAGGATGAGTGGGACCCCGGCCGACAGCCATCTGTGTGCATGCCTAGGTAGGACGCTACTCCCTGCCCTGGGCAGCTTTGCCACAGCCGTCCCTTCCTTGTCCAGAAAACTGCCACGTGACCTTTGTGACCCTCAAGTGCGACTCCTCCAAGAAGAGACGCCGCGGCCAGAAGTCCCCATCCAAGGAGGTGACCCACATCACAGCAGAGTTCGAGGTCGAGACAAAGGTGGAAGAGGCCTCAGGTGGGCAAGGGGTTCCCCAGTGGGCTGCGGAGGACCTCAATGGGGGATCTGTCAGCGAGCCATGGGCTCCCCCCCAGCCGTGGCTGCTGGAGGTGGAGGCTGGCCTGGCAAGCCAGCAGAGTCCCTGCCTGCAGCCCAGGATGGAGGAGGAGGCCGAGGCCGTGTGAGCAGCAGGGCTCGGGACCCACAGGGACAGCCACACGGCCTCTCCCACCCTCTCCACCCTCGCTGGGGCCTGGGGGAGCTTGTCCCCACAGCCCTCCCAGAGCCATTGAGCTAAAGACCTGTCTTCCCAGGTTCCAGAGGGGAGCTTGTAATTCACACCAACACCCCCCTCTGGCCGTAAATGTGTGTTGAGTTGTGACGGAGGAGCTGAGGCCAGTCACTAAACATGTGCTGTGTGTGCCCAGCTCTGCACACCGGGGAATGCAGGGGCCAGACCAGGCCCCCCCTGCTGGCCACGCTTCCGGCCACGGGAGGCAGACGTGCACAGGAACTGCCCAGTACTGTGGGGACACCAGATGGGAGGGACATGGGAACAAACTGGGCACAGGGCTGAAGCTTCTGCCCTGGAGGAGGGACCCAGGAAGTCTTCCCAAGAGAGATGCCGTGGATTCCAGACTTGAAATCAAAGTTCATCAAATGGAAGAGGTGGCAGGGAATGGCATTCAGGCAGAGGAAATAGAACAGGGAAAGGCACAGAGGTCAGAGAGAGCGCAGGGCGCGCTGTGTCCAACAAGCAGTGAGTGAGGCAGGTGTCTCAGAGCAGTCACAGTGAGTGTGGGCATGCTAGGGATTAGGACTAGCAGCGCAGGCTGGTGCCGTGCCGTGCCGGGAGGGGCTCAGGATCCAAGGCCAGAGTGCTGAGCATTTTTCTGGGAGCAGTGGCAGCCTCGAGGGTGTTTGAGTGACAGGGCAGTGTACCCGTCAGTGAGCCGTGCCCTGGGGAGTTGATGGCTTGTAGTAGCAAAGGCCCGGCACCCAGATCGACTGCGTGGCCTTGGGCAGGTCCTACCTCTGGGAGCCTCAGTCTCCCGGTCTGTCAGAGAGATGCTGCCGCCTTGCCCTGGGCTGCTGGAGAATGCGCTCCAGGCAGTGGCCGGCCCAGGGGAGGCCTGGGGTGGAGGCAGCTCCCGGTGGGGCTGGCAGTGACCGGCGCCCGTGCGCCCGTGACGGCCTCCCCGCCCCTGCAGACACCTGCGAGGCGGACTGCGTGCGGAAGCGAGCGGAGCAGAGCCTGCAGGCCGCCCTCAGGACTCTGCGGAAGGCCATCGGCCGGCAGCACTTCTCCGTCCAGGTCGCAGGCACTGAGTACGAAGTGGTGCAGAGGTCGGCCAAGGCCCTGGAGGCCCAGGGTGCGTGTGGCACGGGCCAGGTGCTCCAGGACGGCAAGTGCGGTGAGTCCCTGCCCACAGCCACTTCCTCTGTCCTTCCTTCCACGAGCAGCCCAGGGAACGGCCCATGAGGGAGACAGACACGTCAAGGGGGAGGTGGACAGAGCCAAGGAGGCCAGTCAGAGAGAAGCGCACAGCACTCGTCACAGTGCCTGTCACGTAAAGCACTCCCCTGGGGCCAGGCACCGGGCAGGGTGGAGGGGGCTGCAGGGGACCCTGAGAAGGGGCAGCCAGGAGGGGGCATAAGACCAGGGTCCCCACCCCTGGCCCTTCTGGAACGGATCTGGGCCATTCTGTGCCCTTTGAGCCCCAGGGACGAGGGCTGTGCCGTCTGATGGGGCAGACCCTGGGCTTGAGGCCCCGGAAGACAGGCCGCCCAGCCGCCAGCAGCCTCCCCACGTTGCCTCTGCAGTGGCCTGTGAGCCTGGCACCTACTTCCATGGAGACTCTGGCCAGTGTGCGCCGTGCATGCCGGGGACCTACCAGGACAGGGGCGGCCAGCTCAGCTGCACGCCATGCCCCAGCAGCGACGGGCTGGGCCTGGCCGGTGCCCGCAACGTATCTGAATGTGGAGGCGAGTGTGGGCCCAGCCTGGAAGGACAGGTGGGGCGGGGGCGGGGTGCCCTCTGTCTCCACCTAAGCTCCCAAAGCAAAGACCCTGGAGCCTTATGACAATTTGAAAAGCCCCGCTCTCTGCAGAGCCTGTCCTGACCTGTGCACAGAGCAGACCCACAGCGTACACTTGGCATCGGCCATGGCAGTGTACATGCACTGGGCTGTCTGCACCAGGCTCAGGCACGCCCCCTGCTGTTTGGAAAGGACATTACAATTTACAAACACCTCAACCGTTACTGGCCAGCCTGTGGTTATGGTGGAGGCACGGGGTGCGTCACAGTTGACCAAACCTGGTGCATTTTGTGGAGTACGCTGCCACCATGAAAATGCTTTTTTTTAAAGATTTTGTTGCCCTGGCTGGTGTAGTTCAGTGGATTGAGTGCGGGCCTATGAACCAGAGGATCACGGTTCGATTCCCACTCAGGGCTCATGTCTGGGTTGCAGGCCAGTTCCCAGCAGGGGACACATGAGAGGCAACCATACATTGATATTTCTCTCTCTCTCTCCTTCCCTTCCCCTCTAAAGATAAATAAGTGAAATTTTTTTAAAAGATTTTATTTATGTATTTTTAGAGATGGGGGAGGGAGATGAGGGAAAGAGAGGGAGAGAAAAGTAGATGTACAAGAGATACATTGATTGATTGCCTCTCACACACCCCCAACTGGGGACCTGGCCCACAACCCAGGCATGTGCCCTGACCAAGAATAGAACCAGTGACCTTCCAGTTCACAGGCTGGCACTCGGTCCACTGAGCCACATCAGCCATGGCCATAGAAGTGCTTTATGAAATGCGACGTGTACTAGGGCAAGAACCTTCTCGACACCGAGAATGGTACAGTCTGCCCTGAAGGTAATCTGGGAAGCCCTCAGTCCATGTGCCAAACTCAATTTGGTTTGCAAAGAGCTTTTCCAACTACCGTCCCACTTCAACCTCGTCCCTGAAAGGGACTCAGGGGCTCTTGCCCATCAGCCTCCTGTCCCGGGCCATTGTGGGAGTCACCCAAGGGAATGGGGAAAGCATGCCTGTGAGGGTGGCTAAGTGGGACCCTTAGGGTGGTGCAGAGACCTCCAGCCTTTCCTGGGGACAGACGAAGTTGGAGCCCAGGCCTGAGTTCCACAGGCTGCCGTCTGGCCTCCGGCCCCTGCCCCTCCCGGAGCACAGTCTCTGTCCCCGGGGACCTCCGAGTGGCCCAGCTGGGAGCAGAGAACCCAGAGCCTAGGCTGAGGGGGCACTAAGCCACCCCTCACTCAGTGCCAGAACACCCTGCAATAAATGACCTCCCACCATCTCCTAGCTCCCCGTGGGGGCTCCACACTTTCCAGCTCAGGGGCAAAGTTACTTGCTCTTCTTGCTGGTGGGAGAAGCCAGCCAGGCCTGGCCAAGCCACACACTGGGGAGCCTCTAGCAGCTGCCGACTAGGGGCCGGCCTTGGGCGGCCCAGGCTTCCTCCTAGGTGCCTGCCCCTACCCACCCCCAATGTTGGTGCCTTGGTGCGCCCTCCCCAGGGGCAGACGAGGGCTGAGAGGAGGCCCTGGATGGGGGCAGCCCTCCTGTAGCCCGAGTGAACCGTGACCTCTGTCTTCCAGGCCAGTGCTCTCCGGGTTCCTTCTCGGCTGATGGCTTCCGGCCCTGCCAGGACTGCCCCGTGGGCACGTACCAGCCAGAGCCCGGGCGCACTGGCTGTTTCCTCTGCGGTGGGGGGCTGCTCACCAAGCACGGGGGCGCAGCCTCCTTCCAAGACTGTGAGGCCAAAGGTGAGGATGCCCCCACAGGCCTGGCAGAAATACCCAGGGACCATTTTCTGCCCGCAAACCTCCCAGGTCAGAGGAGGAGCCTGGGACTATCAGGCAAGAGACTAGGTGGCTGGCACTGAGCCACACACCGAGACAGCAGTTACTGTGTGGAGCTCTGAGCCCCTGGAGCCACCAGGGGGCGCTGCCAGCACCTCTGGGCACTGGAAGGGCTTCCTGCTGCCAGTAGAAGGGAGGGTGTGGCAGGAGGAGGGTGAAGAAGTGCGGGGACAGCAGGGACAGTGGGGCAAGGTCAGCGTCTCACCTTACGAGAGACCCTCTCTCCAGAGCCACCAGCTGAAATCCAGCCACTCCTCCTCTCACAGTCCCAGTCCTCACCCCCACCCCAGGAGTCACCCTCCACTGGCCCACTGACAGCCCGCTCCCCTCCGAACCCCCCTCAGATGGAGCGTGGGAGCACTCTGCAGCCCCTGGACGGGATCAGGGAACAGAGGGGTCAGCCTGCCCAGGGACTGGGCTCGGGTGGTGGGAGGTCAGCGGGCGGTGGGGAAGGGCCTCCAATGCTGTGCTGGGACCTCGGGGACAGGAGGCCCAGGGAGAGTGCCCCACCCTTCCCCACCGGTGCCCCCCCAGTGCACTGCTCCCCGGGCCACCACTACAACACCACCACCCACCGGTGCGTCCGCTGCCCGGCCGGCACCTACCAGCCCGAGTTCGGCCAGAACCACTGCATTGCCTGCCCGGGCAACACCAGCACGGACTTCGACGGCTCCACCAACGTCACGCACTGCAAAAGTAGGTGCCACCCCTCCCAGCGTCTAAGTGCTGGGGCGCTGGGAGGGGCCAGGGGCAGGGATGTCCACCCAGAGGCCTATGCGTGGGAGCGGAGCTCAGCATGGCCTGGTCTGCAGAACGCTGGTTGCGCGCCTGGCGTGCACAGGTTCCACTGCCCCCCGGGGCGGCCCGCGCCTCTGTGCCAGGCCGGGCCCTGCGGCAGGCTCTGGCCCTGGGGAAGGAAAAGCCAGGCCGGGCCAGTGAGTCTGGGGGCAGCTGCCAAGAGCCAGGCCCTACAGGTGGAAGGCAGGCACGGAGGAGACTGCCAGGTGCATGAGAACCAGACCCCCAGGTCACAGGAAGCAGGATGCCAGGTGTGGCCAGGGTGGCCGTGCCGGGAAAAGACCACGCCCCTGCCCATGTTCATAAGCAACTTTCCCCAAAGAAATGTGGGCAGCACCAATCGGGTAAACCGGTAACACCTCGGGCCCACACTGAGCGAGTCATTTGGGCCTAACAAAGAGGGTGGTGTCTTTAGGTATTTTGATTCATTTTTCAGAGTTCTTAGGGGCTCATGTTGTGGCATTTTACCCTTTCCCCACTCCGCTTCCAGCCAGTCAGTCCCTGTCCTGGGCTGCTATTCATCTCTAATCCTGAAAGGCACAGTCCTGGAGGTGAGGCTGTCCCCTCTGCCCAGGGCTGTCCCCAGCTGCGTCTGCAGCCCTCGGGGCAGGAGAGCAGGCACAGTGGTGAAGCTCAACAGAGACCGAGTTTTAAACGTTCTAGTGAGTAAAAGTAGGGAAACCAAGTGGGAAGGAAGCTTCTGGAAGAAAAAAGTGAAACGAAATGTGTCCCAGAAACTTTGATACGAGGACAGGATTTGTAAATGAGAATGTATGAGAAAATCGTGTGTATCCCATATTTACATTCAGTTCTCTTTGCTTAAAGATGGTGACTTCCTTTGTAAGGCTCAGGCAGGGACCACTTAAGCTCATAAAAAAGTCCCATGTGGCCTCTTCCAGGATAGCCAGCTGAGCTAAATCAGAACAGAATGGGAGTGGGTCTCTCTTCCCTCCATGTGTTGCCTGCTGACCCCTCATCCTTCCTGCTCAGGGGAGGACCACCCCCGGCACCCGCTGGGCACTAGGGCGATGTTGAGTAAAGGCGTGAGCAGACGGGGGTGGAGACGAAGGGGATGCTGGGGCTCACTCAGGCTCTGACGGCTGCCCGTCCCCGGGGCCGCGGCTCCAGGCAGGAGGCCCAGACACAAAGACGGGGATTCAGGCGAGGCAGCCAAGGGCACCCAGGAAGAAGCCATGCTCACCGGCCCTCAGAGAGCCAAAACACATGGGGGCCTGCCCTCCAGCTCAGGGTAGGGGTTGGGGAGGGGACCCCCAGGGAAGACAGGTTCAGGGTCTGGCTGGCCCACGGACAGGGTCTGGCTGGCCCACGGACAGGGCCAGGGGGAGGCAGGCCAAGAACAGACAGAGGCCTGCCAGCCTCCAAGGCTGCAGCTGGCCAGCCACTGACCAGCTAGGCCTGACCAGGCCCACGGGCCACGGCACCCACAGACCAGCACTGCGGCGGTGAGCTCGGTGACTACACGGGCTACATCGAGTCCCCCAACTACCCCGGCGACTACCCGGCCAACGCGGAGTGCGTGTGGAACATCTCCCCGCCCCCCAAGCGCAGGGTCCTCGTCGTGGTCCCCGAGATCTTCCTGCCCATCGAGGACGAGTGCGGCGACGTCCTGGTCATGCGCAAGAGCGGTACGTGCCCACCCCGCACTCCCCGCAGTGTCTCAGGGCCAGGCCCGAGTCTCCTTCCATCTGACTCTAAGAGGCGGGCGTTGCAGAGCTGTTTGGAAAGGTCTGGAAAGCTCCGAGTCCGCCCGTCTCTCATCTCAGCTGTCCTTCCATGCCCTGCCCCGCTGCCCAGACCGAGACCCTGGGGGTGACCCTACTCCACAGGCCTCCTCCTCCCTCTGAAGCTGGGGCAGGGGTGGCAGAGGGCCACTCTGAGCCCGCACACAAGACACCAGAGTCAGAACGCCCATCGCCTCCCCTCCACGGGCCCCAGTCTCCCAGCTTGTCACCCCCACCAGGGGCTCGTGGTGGGACATCAGGTGGTGAGCAGGGGCCCGGTACCACCACAGCCAGAAGGGCCCAGGTGCCCTTGAGCCCCCGAGGGACCAGGCTAAATTCCTCACAGCGTGTGCTGTCTTGGGGCCGTGGCGCCCAAGGGAGCAGGTTCCTGGTCAGAGGTCAGGGGCAGGGGAACACAGGCAGACACAGAATGACAGCTGCCCACCTGGGCCCAGGCTGCCTCTGAGACTTGGGGACCGGGGCGAGAGTGGGAGGCGCCGCGTGGTCTTCATCCCTGTGTCCCACTCGGTGTCGCTGAGGAGCTGGAGATGCGCCGTGTCCTGTGAGGACTGAGGCCACAAAGGGCCAGGAGCTGCCCAGGGTCCCACGGCAGCTCAGAACCCCCCCCCCCGCTTGTCTCCAGCCCCCCAGTCCCAGCATTCTCCCCACCCTCTGCTGCGCACACACAGGGCCGAGCGTTAGGGGAACCAGCCTCTCCTGCCTCAGGACCACCCCGGGAAGCCTCCCCAGGGATCCGTACGGTCCTGCCAGGACTGCCCCGTGGGCATGTACCATACGGTGGTGGGTTACCCCAGGCCCTCACAGGGTGGGGGCTCTCCTCAGATCTGACCTAAAACAGTCCTGTCCTTGAGGAGCAGGTGGCAGGGAAACAGTGACAATCCTATAGAGAGAGGCTGTAGTAAAGAGTTCGCCGGAGCAGAGCAGGAATGTGGCAGGGATGGAGCAGTCAGGAAGGCTTCCTGGAGGAGGAAGCATGGAAATGGGTTCAGAAGAATAAGTAGGAACTGGGGTTGAGGGTTGAGGGTAGGGAAGGGCATCTGAGGTAGAGGTAATACATGTGGACACCAGGTGGCTGGAGCCTTTGAAGCGATGGGCCTTGTGGGTGCTGGGCGGCTGACTGGGTAGGGTGGCGAGCAGCCCGAGGCGGAGGACGGGGGTGGGCAAGGAGCAATGGCGTGTCTTCGCCCCCAGCCTCGCCCACATCCATCACCACCTATGAGACCTGCCAGACCTACGAGAGGCCCATCGCCTTCACCTCCCGCTCCCGGAAGCTCTGGATCCAGTTCAAATCCAATGAAGGCAACAGCGGCAAAGGCTTCCAAGTGCCCTATGTCACCTACGATGGTGAGCCTGGCCACACTACGCACCCAGCCCAGGCCGGCCCTGGGTACAGGGAGCCTAGTCACCCCCCCACCACCTCAGGGGGCTGCAGTCTTGGGGTGGGAGGCACAGGCATGTAACAGGCCCAGGGCACAGATAGGGGAGCAATGCGTGGGGTCCGTGGGCTTCAGCACAAGGCACCACCCCAGCAGGGTTTTGAGGATTAAATAGGGGTGTTCCAGCTAGTGAGACCTGGAGAGCAATTTGGGGGGAGGGCCCAGAGGCTCAGAGGCAGAGCTGCAGGTGGCTGGCCGGCGTGGGGAGGGCAGGGGCCGCGGTGGCAGGGGCGTGCCGGCCGCTCTGCAGCCTCACCTTCCTGCCCCGCGGGCGCAGAGGACTACCAGCAGCTGATAGAGGACATCGTTCGCGACGGGCGGCTGTACGCCTCGGAGAATCACCAGGAGATTTTGAAAGTGAGTGAGCGTCTTTGTGGGAAGGGCCCCTGTGATCCCGGGACAGGGGCCTGTGGGGACCCAGGGCCATACCTGCCCCCCCCCCCCTAGCAGAGAAGGAGGGTGTGACAGGTGAGGAGAAGGTGCTGGCCCCAGGGGTCTAGCCCAGTACCTGGTGGCTTGTCCCTGGACAGGCGCCTTACGAGCTGTCAGCCTGACTTTCCACATCTGTGAAGTGAGGGTAGTTTTTGACAGGGGGCCTCTTAAAATCAGTGGGGTCGAGCACTGCCTTTGGGATGGGCTCCTTTCTCATCCTGTTCGTGGCCCCGAAGAACAGAGCCACCTCGTCACACAAGGGTCCAGGGGGCTGTGGCCGTCAGGCAGCAGACACCAGGCAGGGCCCAGGACGCCGGCGTCCTCGCTGCACCCGAGGCCCACCTGGGGCCGGCCTGGGCTCCGCCCCACAGGCACACCCAAGCCATTAGTCAGACAGTTACGACTAAAACTTATTTATGGACAGGGAGGTGTGGGCTCCTGAAACCTGCCAGCCCCTCCCTGCCCCACCCCCGCCCTGCACCAGTGAGGCAGTGGCTGGGCCCTGGCTGGAGGTTAGTAGGCCGAGCTGCGCTCCTGCTGTTGCTACTGGCTTGGATGCAGAGACAGCTCACGGCCAGGGGTGCTCCAGGCCCACCCACTCCTGCACACAGTAGGCAGTTTATAAGTCCAGAGGCCGGCCCTGCTGCAGACCGCAGAGCTTGGAGTTCAGCACTGGGCCCAGCGTGTGGGTCCTCGCTCTCACTGCTGGGCCTGTGCCTCGCAGCCTGAGCGGAGGGTCCCTGCCCCTCACTCAGGGGACAGCCACCTTCCCAGCCAGAGAGCCAGTCCCAGGCAGAAGCTAGGGAGCAGGTTCTGGGAGTACAGTTTTACCCTCGGGCCTGGGTTCCAACATGTTTTGTTTCACAGCAGGATGCTTACTGAATAAAGTGTTATTGGAACCCCAAGAGTTCCAACCAATAGACTATCTTTAAAAAAAATTTGAGAGTTTATTTGCGCCAAACTGACATGCTGGTGAACACCCCCAATAGACTACTTAAAAACCATTAGTCAGACAGTTACGACTAAAACTTATTTATGGACAGGGAGGTGTGGGCTCCTGAAACCTGCCAGCCCCTCCCTGCCCCACCCCCGCCCTGCACCGGAGAAGCGGCTGGGCCCTGGCCGAAGGGACCTCAGCCAGCCTGGCCGTGCCTTTCAGGACAAGAAGCTGATCAAGGCCCTCTTCGACGTGCTGGCGCACCCCCAGAACTACTTCAAGTACACAGCCCAGGAGTCCAAGGAGATGTTCCCGCGGTCCTTCATCAAACTGCTGCGCTCCAAAGTGTCCCGGTTCCTGCGGCCTTACAAATAACGCCGCTGCCGGCTCGGGACGCCCGTGTCCGGAGGGGAGGGCGAGGGGGGAGCCTGCCCTCCACGGCAGCGGCTCAGAAGCTGCTCCAACGGGCCTGCGCATCGCCTCGGGGAGTCGCCGCGGAGGCTGCCCTTCAGGAAGGCCCACCGGTCGGCGAGGGCGGGACCCCACCCAGGCAGAGACCCCAGCCCGCCCGCCCACGCTCACGCCTCCCGTCGCTGCCCCGCCTCCCGTCGCCGCCCCGGTGGGAGAACACTTGTTAAAGCAGCCTTTCTCCTCCCCTCTGCCTGCTGGTTTCCAGGCTGCCGGGAGCGCCCTCTCCTGGCAGGACACTGCACCGCCACGAGGGCGGGTCCTGGCGGGCATTGGAAGTCGGCAGATGCCCCTTGGTGACAGACGTCTCCGGAGGCTGTTGGAGGCCTGATGGGAGACGAGCAGCCCGGCCTCGCAGAGGAGGGTGTGTGAGGGCGTCTGGAGGGCTTTGATAAGCGGGGTGCAGCTGCTGCCGCAGGGGCAGCCACACCCAGAGCCCCGGCCGCAGGCCCAGGATGTGTTGCCTTGCGGTCAGGTCCGGAGGACTCAGAGGCACAGAAAACAGCTGCTGGGGAAGAAAGTGCTTTCCCTTGATAGAGGTCTAATTAAGTATTATATGTATAAGTATAAATATATATACTTCTATCTGTGGGTACTTTAGGGAAAGTCTCCTCAGTAACTGTAAATATTGCAACCCCGCCTGGTCTCCGGCAGCCAGTGAGCACCCCAGCTTTTGCTGGCTTCCCTGGCTGATTAAACGGCTTCCCCAGACGCTGGCCACCCCTGTTTCTGTGCGGCCAGGAGCCTGCAGGCCAGGGACGAGGCGGGCCGGCTGTGGACACACTTCGGAAGATGAGACCTTCGGGATGGGGCTCCAGGGCTCTGCTGGGTGCTGCCCTCAGACGGAACGTGGTGGAAGGCGGGTTCCCCCAAACCCCTTGCCGGGGGTGCAGGGACCCAGTGGTCAGCTTCCGGAGGGACCTGGGTCTGACCTTGAGGCCATGACTTTGGGGCCCATGCTGTGCCCTCGTGGCACTGGAAGCAGGGCCGTCCCCACAGGAGCACAGGCTGTATGACCACAGAGGCCTCCAGAGCAGTGGCTCGCTCCTTCCTCGTCCTGGAGCAGGCAGGGGTGGCCCCAGGCCCAGGCAGCCCCAGGGCCGGAGTGCCAGCCTCCAGGCAGGCTGCTTCCTGCCCTGCCAGGCTGCCTCCCTCTCGGAGTCTGTCTTTAAAAAAGAAAAGTCTGGAATTCGACTGAGTTGCCTGGAGTCCCACTCCGACAGGAGGCCGGCACCTGGGACAGAGCTGCTGCCGCCGTGACGTGCAGAGGCCATGATGTGCGGAGACGGCGGCCACCGGGGCAGGATGGGCCTGGGACGTGGTCCGTAGTTATAGGGTTAAAAGGTATTTGGGGTCCCAAGGAACGTGGGAGAATCAGAAAGGGAACCCCAGCCCCCAGGCCGTTTCCTCCCCCCCCCACCTCCTCCCAGGGCCGAGCCGAGCCGAGCAGCTGGCCGTGAGCCTGGCGTGAGAAGCATCCTCGGCCCTGAGAATGGCGACGACAGGCAGGCCGGCCAGGTCCCCCTGCCACCCACAGCCATCACTTGTCCCAGCTAGGACAAGTTCCCCAACGAGCTGCCATCAGCACCTTCTCTGCCAAAACCAGCTCAAGTTGGGAGGGGCAGCACCTGGGGGGCAGGTCAGGGCCAGCCAAGGAGCCCCACGGGGCTTCCCCTGGTCACTACACTGCCCTTCCCCTGGTCACAGTCCATGAAAGCCAGCCCTAGTTCCCAGAAAGAGTCCTGTCTTCCCTTGCCGAGCCCTCAGTCGTCCTTGGAAATCAGGCTCCTCCAGAACAGGCCCCAGAACAGCTCCAGGGGAGGGGACTGGGAGGGGTTTTTTCCAATTGTCCCCCCAAAAATAGGACCAGGAAGACCTGTCACCTCTCTGCCTCTTCCTGCTGCTCCTGCACAGGATGCCTGCCACGTGCCCCCACATGCCCACTAACCTGCCCGCCCCGTCAGCGGGAGTCCACTCAGCCCACAGCCGCCACAACACCCTCATCAGTCCCTGCCCCCGCAGTGTCCCCGCAGGACAGGGCAGGGCAGGGCCGACTTGGACGTGGGGCCCTCACCCCTTCACAAGGACCAGGCCGCCCACAACCCACACAGTCACCATCCAGCCCTCCCTCCCGGGTAACACACCTCCCACACCATTGGGGGTGCTCACAGTCCAGTGGTGGGGTCTGGCCTGAATCTCCATTTTCAGGGCCCCACCTTGTGAGCCTGGAGCTGTCCCCCGTCCTCAGGGCCCAGTGGTCCTGGGGCCCCTCTGGTCCAAAAGCCCCACTTTTCCACGTCTCCACACTGTGGGAACTAGTGGCAGCTGGGCTCACACGAGGTGGCCGTCCCCCTGGCTCCGGGTGGAGGTGGAGAGCAAGGACACAGAAGGGACGGGGCCCAGGTGGGTTATGAGATGAACCCCCCGAGGACTGAGGTACAGACAACCCATGCTGCCCAAAGGAGAAGCCAGCGTGGGGGGCGCTGAGCCAGAAGGGGCACAGCCCACTCCTGACGGACATTGGTCTTGAGCAGCCACAGCCCCACCCCAGCCAGTGTCTGCCCTTCGCCTGGCATGGACCTTCGGTGGCCAGCCAGCCAGTGAACTCCAAGGGAAGGAGCTAAGGAACAAGCTGCTGGAAGCAAGAGCCGCCGCCTTGGCCAGGACCGACGGCAGGGGCCGAGGCTGGCTGTGCTCCTGGTGCGGCAGCACACCGGCCAGCTGGAGACGCTTGGAGGAGGGCGCCTCGTACCCCTGCCAGGGGCCTCGGGCAAGGAGGAGCGCCCCTGTCCTCCCCACCCTCCCCTGTTGGCCTCTGGCCCCAACTGAACTAAGTTGGGTTAATGAGCAAACGTTTGCTGAGTACCTACTGCGTGCTAGGCCCCAGAAAAGGAGGGAGACTAGAGCTGGGCCAACGGGGTCCTCTGGGAAGCTCCCGTGGCCACAGATGAGTGGGGCCAGACACGGAAGAGCCCAGCAGTCTCCTCAGGAGAAGACGCCCCCCCACCCCAGGGGGCACCACCCAGGACCCTCAGCAGGGATGGAGGGCGTGTGCAGACAGGTGGAGCAGAGCTGGGGACACAGATTTGCGTGTCAAGAAGGATGTCGCGGGAGAAGCTACAGCCACGCTCCGCCGTGGGTGGAGAGGTGCGCACAGGCCACAGCCACCAGCTTAGGACGGCAGCCTCTGCCGCACACAGTGCCTGCCGCTGGCGCTTACACTCCAGAAGGGAGCTCCGTTCTCGTTACCCAGGAACCCCAGCTTTTTTTGACCACCCCACTCCATGCCTGGAAGCTGGTCAGCCTGGTAAACTGCATCTTCGCGTTCACCAAAGACAGGGGGGCGGCAGCCCGGCCCTCTGACCAGGGCAACAGCACAGCGCGCCTATGCCGTCCAGGGCAATGGCGGGAGGACTTGATGTTCTAGAGACAGCAAACAGCTCCGGTTCTCCCACGGCTGCCTCTGCAGCCCCCACAGACTGCTGGGCCCTCCGGGAGTGAGCCTACGTCCTAGGCACCTACTGTGTGCCCAACACAGCGCCACACAAGCTGGAGTCAGCCTTACCCAGCCAGCCTTGCTTCTTGGAGAGGGCACCTGCAAGGGCTACCTCGCCATACCCAGGGCCCAGACAACACAGCCATGGCCCCAGGTTCCCTCCCGGGGTCCTGCGCAGCACAGGTGGCCCCCAAAGAGCAGGACCCTCTGTTCTTTTGAGGGCTCCCCAGAGCCTAAACGCACTCTACGGAATTCTCTGGAGACCCCAAGTCTCGGCAGGAGGGGCCAGAGGTCCCCCCACACCCTTTCCTGGCTGGCTCTGGGCTGAACCCTTTACCATCTGCACACACGAGGCCCCTGCCCCTGCAAGGTGGGTGCGCCAAACTTGAGCTTCAGGTGTGGAGATGGAGACTCTGGGCGACCAAGAGGCCTGCCTGAGGCAAACAGTAACTCATGGAACTGAGCGCAAAGCAAGCCCGCCTGGCCCGAAAGGAGGAAACTCTCTCGCTGAGATGTTGGCACTGCCTGTTACAGGTCGGTCGGCCCTGGCGGTCATGTCCAGGGCGGGGATATGCAGGGCAGAGAGGACAGAGGGAGGAGGGGTGCAAGTGGGGACTTAGTGCCAACGCCTCCCTCTGAGAAAGGCGGTCCTCTCCCTTCTCCCTGGGGGGGCAGCACCACCATTCCAACCTGAGCTCCAGGGGTGAGTCCCTGCTCTGCCCTGGCCCAGCGCCCCCTCCCCTGACTTCCCCTCGCACAGGCCCCAGTGCATGCTCAGTAGAGAGTTTGGGTCCCTTTGCCAACAGTGTGGTGAAAAGCAGGTGTCAGGGAAAGCTGGCTGATGCCAAGTATGTTGATGTTCAGTCCAGAGGCCACGCGGAGCTTCGGGGAGACTTCTTACTCCGCTGAGGTCAGAACCTGGAGCAGCCTGAGCAGACGCAGCCCCCACTGCTCTGGGCAGCCTGCGGCCGTGGGCAGGAGCCAGAGAGCGGAGCCCCAGTGCCCACAGCCTTCGCCCAGCTCCGGTGGAGGCTGCTGGGCTGCTGTCCTGCTGTCCTGGCGCTTTGGCAATCACTGCCTAGAGTGACAGATGCCAGTGTGACCACGTTTTTCTTTTAGTTGCCTTGAATATCCGAAGTTTTGTTTTCTCCATTATGTTCATACCTATGCATGTAATTAAACATTTGTGAAAAAGCACTCCAATAATAAACAGATGAACTTCAAGACTGCTCCTTCCTCTTATTCATCACAGGTCATGAAGGGTGGGGAACAGGGACAAAAGGTAACCGAAATCAGGAAAGAAAAAAATTTCGTCAGAAATCCCCTGGCTGTGCCCTAGCTCAGTGGGTTGCGGGGCCAGGTCCCCAGTTGGAGGCCTTGTGAGAGGCAACCTGTTTCTCTCACACACTGATGTTTCTCTCCCTTTCTCCCTCCCTTCCCTCTCTCTAAAAACAAGTAGCCCTGGCTGGCGTGGCTCAGTGGATTGAGTGCTGACCTGTGAACCACAGGGTGTCCGGTGGTTTGATCCCCAGTCAAGACACATACCTGGGTTGTGGGCCAGGTCCCTAGGGGATGCACCTGAGGCCACCACACATGGATGTTTCTTTCCCTCGCTTTCTCCTTCCCTTCCCTGCTCTCTAAAAACAAGTGAAATAAAATCTTTTAAAAAAATCACAGTTGTCAAAATTTTACAAGTATTCTTTAAAGATTTTATTATTTATTTTTAGAGAGGGGAAGGGAAGAAGAGAGGGAGAGAAACATCAATGTGTGGTTGCCTCTCACATGCCCCCAACCGGGGACCTGGCCTGCAACCCAGGCACGTGCTGTGGCTGGGAATCCAACTGGCGACCCTTCGATTCACAGGCTAGAGCTCAATCCACTGGGCCACACCAGCCAGGGCTACAAGTGATTTTTTTTCATATAGTAATTGAACTACAGTATTTTTGTAACAAAGCAATGTTAGATACAATTCAAAACAAAACAAAAACAACCTTTCCCTCTCCCTTTTTCCCTGCACCCCTCCCCATCTGGAGTTTGGAAGTTTGACTCTTTACAGACCGATTTCAGTGTCCTAGCCGCACTGCACAAGCCCTCTAAACCGATACATTTTGTTCAAATTCAGTTTAAAACTTTTAATCGAAAAAGTCAGCAACTGAAGGGCCAAAAACAAGAAACAAACCGCTTCAGCCTTTGTGCCTCTTAGCAAAATACAACTGCTGGAAAGTTGCGCCCGGGAAGCCAACAAACCCGTGGCTGTGGACGTGCGGACGCGTGCGGGAGGAAGAAACGTGACCGCCACGGTTCTTTCCGCTGGTCTCATCCAGGAGACAGCAGGCAGATTAACAAGAGGAAATAACCTATTTTAATACGTCCGCACACGGGAGAAGGTAAACTGCCTTGGGGCTCCGGGAGACACGCCGGCCCCGCCCTGGAGACAGAGCACTGGAACCTCTCTCGAGGGCGCAGGCTCTCGAGCGAGTAAGTCGTCCGCCTGTCGCCGAGACACATCTTGGGGTGGCTCTCTCGGAACCACACAGAAGCAATAGAAGGACCTGAAAAATCAATGTCCCAAAAACGATTTTTGAATTCGGTAATTACAACTTGGACTATCTTTGCAATAACTCAACTTGTACGAAAACCCTCTCGGTTTTAACTGCATACAATTACACTCCAAATGCCAACGTAAGGAAAGTGAAGCGGCCAACTACTTGGCAGGACCGCGGGTCCCTGCAAGCACTTTGTTCGGCCCGGCAGTCCACCCATACCACTGCCTATGAGCCTCCACCGCCCATTCCCGGGCAGGCCCCGGAGTCTCTTCCGGCTTCCGCCGCCGTAAAGCCCCGCTCCCAGCATCCTGTGGGGCAGAAGCCCGAAGGGAAAAGGCCCCGCCCCCACCAGCCACGCGTGCGCACACCCCGGCAGCGCTGAACCCGCAGCGAGGGCGCCAGCTCGCGCCAACACGCCAGCGCGCTCGCGCACGCGCCCCGCGGACGACCGGGCTCCTGGGGTTCCCCCAAGTCCCGCCCCTCGAGCCTCGTGTCAGGCAGCTCGCTGCGTGGGATCAGCGGTGGGCGGGGTCGCGGGAAGCTCAAGAGGAGGGTGGGGCGGCGACGACGCGGGCGGGCGGAGTCGGGAGGGCTGCGCCCTCGTGCTGTGGCGGCGCTGGACTTGGTGCTGGCGGAGGCGCCATGGAGGCGGACGCAGCGCCGACCTCGGAGCGGGGCCCGGGCCCCGAGGAGGGCGCGCGGGCCCTGGCCGAGTTCGTGGCACTGCACGGCCCAGCGCTGCGCGCGTCCGGGGTCCCGGAGCGGTACTGGGGCCGCCTCCTGCACAAACTGGAGCACGAGGTGCGGGCCGGGGCGACGCGGGGAGGTCGAGGCGCCTGGCTGGGAGCACTGGGGTTCAGAGCGGGCCCTGGGCACGCCGGAGAAGGATGGCTCTGGACCCTTCTACTCGGAAGGGTGGGGTCCGCGGGCTGGCCCCTGGACGAGAATCGCTGGGGTTTGCGGGTTGGAGAGCCCGGCTGGGTCCGCTTGGGGAAGGCAGGAGGGCCTCCTGGAGGGCATGTGCCATGCGCGAGCGCCTTGCAGGACTGGCAGCCTGTCCCCACCTGGGCAGGCTTCGATGAGACGCTCAGGGGTATGTTCTTCTCGGGGAGTTGGGGATGATGTGGACGGACGAGGCCAGAGAAACAGGCAAGGGTATGATGAAGAAGAGCCACGAATGCCTTGATGACCAACTTCCACTGTGCCTCCCTGGCAGTTTGGAGGCTCCTAAAGATGGGGCTGAAGAGTGGCCGCCAGGGCCCTGGGCCTGTGGCCCCGGTCCTGCCAGTATCTGGGACCGGACCAGGGCTTAGGTGGGACCTGGAACCAAAACGAACTTTGGCTCCTGTTTGTGTGCCAAGCTCGGAGCTGATTTCTCCACCTCCGAGCCTCACAGCGCCCCCTCCCCATTGCACAGTTGAGAAAACTGAGTCTCAGGAAGAGGATGCAACCCCCGAGGTCTGGCAGGCTTCAGATCTGGACGCTTTCAGCCACTGCCTCCCTCTGGGAGAATAGGAACTCCGTGAATTTGTGTGGCTTTAACTGTTTGGGTCATAAAACTCCCTCACATCCCCTCACTGGACTTGCGCCTGACTCACCCTCCTTTTGCAAATTAAAGGAAACAGTCTGTGGGAGACAGCACGAAAATTAGGAAAAATGAGAAGGTCTTAGCTGCTCGTAGGTGTCTCCCGTCTTGTGGGGCAGCTCCATGCCACTCACCAGCTATGTTAGCCTGGACCTCCGCAGGGGCTCCCGTGGGTTCTGGCTAGGGGACAGGAGGGCCTGGTGTGGGGCAGTCTGTGCAGGGGCTAGCCCATAGGTGCTGCATCACTGGAGCCAGGCTGCCTGCTGGGCCCCATCCAGACTGAGCCCTGCATGGGATGAGGAGGAACTCCAGAGCCAGGAAAAGGCTCTGAGCCTGGACAAGCCCCTTCCTCTCAACCAGTTTCTCCATCTGAAAGTCGGGAGTTGGTCCAGGTACTTAACTTTCCTGCTCAGATTGGTAGTTTCAGTATTGGGCAGGCAGTACGCACCTATTTTTTGCAACAGTGAATTTCCTTCCTTCCCCTTCCCACCGCCCCCCAGTGACTTTTGCCCAAATTTCCTGAGCCCTGGTCCCAGGCCTGTGCTGGGTGGGAGGGAACCCCAGCTGCTTGTTAATGGAGGTACAAGGTCCCCTCACATGCTGGACGAAGAGTGCCATGTGGCAGCACCCAGCTCCAGCCCTGCCAGCAGCAAACCCTCACTTGGGCAAGGCACTTACCTGGCGGAGTCTCTAGAAAACGGGACTGTCTTGGCAGGGAAGGGACAGGGAGGCCTGAGAACGTTTAGCAGGTGCCCAGCACACAGTGGGCAGTCCCCAGACCAGTGCCCCTCTGGTCCATCTGCCCTTGCTCTGCAGCCGGTGTTTTTCCATGGCCCTCCCTGGCCACTCTGAGTTACGGCAGAGCTGTGAGTCACCACTCTGCCTGACCCACCCTGCAGTTGTTCCAAGGGAACCTGCTGCCACTGTGGATGCAGGTGTGGGGGAAGGTGCATACCAGCAGCCTGGGCACCTGCCCATGGCGTGGGGCCCCTTGGGTCCTGTGGCAAGGCAGATAAGGGTGCTGCCCTCTTGCTCTGGGAAAGACAGGAAGAGTTCTAACGTCGGTTTCAGCTCCTCTCCTGCCTGTGCACCAGGAAGGGGTCGTGGTCTCCCCTCCACAGCTGGGGAGAAGCCCTCTACCCCCCAGGCTTAATGCTGCATGCCCCCAGCTCCCTCCCTCCTGTCAGGTTCGGGGGTTGAGGGCTGGGGCTTTGCAGCTCAGGCTTGAAGCCCAGGGTGTAAACGCCAACCCTGTGAGCTGCTTTTCTTATCTCTGTACTGGGGGTGCCATCGCGGCCTACCCAAGCTCTGCGAGGTTAAAGGCAAACCCAGAAAGTGCCCAAGCATTTGCAGGCCTTGGGTTCTTCTAGCTCTTTATGTTAATCATTAATCCTCCCAACTACCCTCTGAGGTGGTCCTAACATGCTGGTTGTATGTGTGGGGAAACTGAGGCAAGGCGTGGTTTGGTGGCTCATTCAAGGTCACAGAGCACACAAAGGAGCTAACTCGGCCTCACCAGCTGCACAGGGGCTGGCAGTTGTCCTTTCCCAGGGAAAGTCAAGCACCAGGACCCTTCCTGTTCCGTGCTGACTGGGGACCTCAGGAGACTGGCCCCAAGCCCCCAGGCCACGCTTCCTGTAGGCCCGGGCTGCTGCCTGGCTGGGCTGGCGCTGTGGCCACAGCAGGCACTTGGTCACCTCTCTCCCTCCCGGTTGCTTCAACTGCCCTGGTGTTGGGTTGGTTCCTCAGGAGAGCAAAATTGGGGTGAGGTCCCTGGCTACCAAGATACTGACTTCCATTTACTTCCAGTGTGACCAGAGCCACCCCTTCTGCCTCTTGGGCCTCGTTTTCCCTGTAAACAAGGGGCCAGAGACATAATCAGACACATTTTTGTAGGCCCCCTTCTTACAAGGCCCCCTTCTTAGCATGGGTCCTGAGGACACAGGTCGGGTCCCAGTTCTGACTGCTCTCTCAGGGGCGTCTGTTTCCCCACCAGTGAAATGGAAGGGAGGGGAAACTGCCTCTCCTGAGGGGTTTCGTTTGACCTGGAGGCCAGAAGCGGAAGTCCAGGCTGTGGGCAGGGTTGGGGTACCCTGCTGATACCCCCTGCTGTGGCCCGCAGGTTTTCGACGCGGGAGACATGTTTGGGATCATGCAAGTGGAGGAAGTGGAGGAGGAGGAGGGTGAGGAGGAGGCCGCCCGAGAAGAACAGAGGAAGAAGCCCAACCCGGGCGGCGAGCTCTGCTACAAGGTCATCGTGACCAATGAGAACGGGCTGCAGGCGGCCAACCCCGACAGGTAGGGGCCGGGTGCGGCTCTCGGGGCCAGAGGCTGCCCCACTGCGGGGAAGCAGCAAGTGCAGACACTCGTGGGCGTCCTGGTGACGAGCGCTTGCTTATGGCCACCGTGTTTCCACCTGAGCTTCAGGTTGCGTCAGTCCTGATGCTGGTGACACTCCTGTGTCGGTTGTGTTTTGCACGGTCCTGACAGCAGCCTCCCCTCGTCCCACTTGTCACACGACAGGTGATGAGTTCTGATTTTGCTGATGAGGAAATGGGAAGGACTGGCCCGAGGTCACACACAGTGGAGTCTGGGTATCGAACCCACGGCAGGTTTACTCGAGTACCAGAGCTTTCCCCCGGACTCCAGGGGCTCATTTCCAGGATGTGAGGAGGGAGAGGGGGCTCTGGGTGAGTCCTCATGGGAGCACATCAAGGCCCAGGGCTGGGCCTTGTCCAGGGCCGCAAGGCAGAGCTGAGACGGGACCCTGGGCCTCCTGCCTCCCGAGGGCCCAGAGGGGCCATCAACCAGGACAGGCCTGCAGGCGCCTCTGCCCAACTTTGGAAACTTGAGGAAAACCCTCGCTGTTCTCTGAGAGTCATCGGGCCCCTGTGTCCAGGGCTCTTCCAGGAAAGGGCTGGCCTCCTTCCCCAGCCTGCAAGGCAGTGGGCGTGGCCACACAGGTAATTACGCAGCTGCAGCGCCTCCGCCCACGTGCACTCTCCCACAGAGACTTGTAGGTTCTTCCTGAGTGGTGCCCGCTTGGAAGGCCTGCTCTGCACTGTGTCACATGGGTGTCGACTGCAGGCGGGCGGGGATACATCTTCGTTGGTTTCAGGGTCTCCAAACAGAAATCGGTGCTGTCCTCCCTCATCGTCCGTGAGGGGTGGGTTCCCGGACACCCCTCGTGCGCCCAGGTCTGCAGGTGCTCCTGCTGCTCGTGTGAAAGGGCGTGGTGCAGGGCGGGCAGGGCCGTGTGTCCTTCCGCCATTTATCGATTGTGTTACTTCCCATGCGAACACCTGTGGATCTGCCTTTGCCCCGCCCTGTGCGGGCATGGACCCGTCCTGCCATGTACTGCGGTCACCTCCGGTTATTTAGAATGCCCACCACAACGGGACTATTGTGTGAACAGTTGTTACACTGTACGTAGGAAACAGTGACGCAGAAAGGCCTGGCTGCAGAGTGCACGTTGGTAACCATGTAACATTTTAGAAGTATTTTTGGTCTGAAGTTGGTCCAAACCTGTGGATACAGAGGGCCAACTATGTAGCACAATAAAATAAATGCTGCCGAGCTTGCCACCCAGCCTGAAACCTGGGACATTTGTCGTTCCTTTCATCGAAGGGCAGGAACAGCGGTGAGGCCGTTTTGTCCGCCAGTCTGGGTGAGGTTGCTGTCTGGGCGGCTGTGGCCTCGTCCTCCGCCTCAGCCCACTGCGTCGGGCGGGAGCGTGCAGCTCCTGCCCCGGGCTCCTCCGGAGAAACGGAGTGTGGGTGCCAAAAGTGTGGAGACTGAGGCCTCTCCGGAAAAAAGGCCTCAGAGCTTCCCAGGAAGCTCCCAGAAGTCCCGGGCGTGTGTGAATGAGCTCCGTGTGACCGCTTTCTCACTCGTGCCTGCTGCCGGCCTCCGTGTGTGAGCTCCGTGTGTGAGCTCCGTCTGAGCTCCTGCCGCGGGCCAGGCTGCAGGCGGCGAGGTGGCAGGCGTGGGTGGGGGTCTGGTGGAGGCCGTTTGCTGCTGGGTGGTTGCTGTGGTCACGGAGCTCATGGGGACTCTGGGTCCTGTCTCGCTAGATGCTGCGTCGGCCGGGCGGCAGGATGGGGACCCCACTGCCCTGTTTTAGAGACTGGAAGGGAGAGGGGAACGTGTCTGTGGCCCCCAGTGAGTGGTTGGCAGAGCCCCGATCCACTGGTGCCGGGGAGACCAAGTCTCAGGTTGGGTGCGGGTCCCGGCCACAGCCCCAGGCCGCTTCCTCTTTGTCATCTGCCGCCACCGCCCTGCTTGCTGTGCCCCTGTGGCAGCCTCACCCCCCCATGGCCTGTGCCTGCAGCATCTTCCTCATCGACCACGCCTGGACCTGCCGGGTGGCGCACGCCCGCCAGCAGCTGCACCGGGTGCCCGGCCTGCTGCACCGCATGGCCAGCCTGATGGGCGTCGAGTTCCACGGGGAGCTGCCCAGCGCCGAGGCCGTGGACCAGGTGCTGGAGGAGATGTGGAAGTTCAACCAGACCTACCAGCTGTCCCACGGGGTGAGTGGGTAGCCAGGCCCCGGGGGAGGCTGAGGACAGACGTGGACACAGGCCGTCGCTGCCCCATGTGGTTGGGGCCTGCACCCCACGAGTGAGCCAGTCCCCCTTTTCCCGGGGCCCATTGAAGCCCTGCCGGTCCTGCGGCTTTGTCCTGGGCCTGACCCTGTGCCTTGGACCAGCCAGCGCCAGGGGCCAGGTGACTGCTCAGGTGCCTCCCACTCCGGTCACCCGCCCTCTGAAAAGCCCCCGCGGTCCTCGCCTCCTTCAGGAGGGGAGTCGAGTCCTGCCAGCGTGTGTTCTCAGACTTTCTTCACGCCGCCCCGGCCGCCCCAGACTCGCCCTGGGACCGCAGCCCCTCCCCCCGTGTTTAGGTTGGAAGACAGGTCGAGTCTCGTGATCTCTGCCTGGACGCCCCCTCCCCAAACCGCAAGTCTCCCCGTCCCACTGCCCCGCCGCACACACCAGACCACACGTCCACCTGGCTGCCGGGCTGGTGCCTGGTTCCACACGCCTGTGGCACAGAGCCGATCGCCCTGGTGTCTGCAGGCCTGTGTCCTGCTCTGCCAGGCAGGGCCACCCCCCAGGTGCCCCGGTCAAGGGCCCAGGCGTTTGTGTGGTAGCTGCTCCGGGCCCAGCTCGTTGGGTGGTTGGTGCTGGGCCCGTGGGGGGGACGTGGGACAGGTGGCCGGGCCGGCGGACGAGGGCCGGTGTCTTTGCCCACAGACGGCGGAGGAGAAGGTGCCGGTGTGGTACATCATGGACGAGTTCGGCTCGCGCATCCAGCACTCGGACACGCCCAGCTTCACCACCGCGCCTTTCTTCTACGCACCCCAGCAGGTGGCCTACACGCTGCTGTGGCCCCTGAGGGACCTGGACACGGGAGGTGAGTCAGACGCCTGCCCCCGCAGAGGGTGGGCCGGGCCCGGCTCCTGCCGCCCCTGACGGGCGCATGTGTCTCGGTGCAGAGGAGGTGACCCGGGACTTCGCCTACGGAGAGGCAGACCCCCTGGTCCGGAGGTGCCGGCTCCTGCCCTGGGCGCCCGCCGACCTGCTGGGCCTCAGCTCCTGCACGCCCGAGCCGCCCGCCGAGCACTACCAGGTGGGCCCTGCACCCCGTCACCTCCCACCCCTGGGCCTGTTTGCCTGCTGGCTTCTGGAACGTTCTGCACGCAGTCACCGCATGCTATTGAGCGACCCCTGGCTGCTGTGGGGGCGGAGAAGTGTTTGGGAGCAGCTGAGAGCGAGGGCTCAGAGCTCAGGAGTGAGCTGCACCGGTGGGCGTCGGGCCGAGCCCTGTCCCCAGGGTGTGACGCCGGGAGCCGCCCTGTCGGGGCTGCTCTTCCCTGTTTTCCTCTCCCCGCCCTGACCCCTGGGCGGGAAGACACTGCGTTCAAACGCTGTGCAGCCCAGCTTCCGGGGCTCAGTAGGCCCTGTATCAGGTCATCGTCACAGGTGCCGTCATTAATAACCAACAGGTGCTTTCGGTCCCTGGACAGCTTCTCTGTCAGGACCCTGCCAGGGCGCATCCGGCCCCTCACAAGTGCCTGGCTGGCGGGGGAGTTAACGCAGGGCCCCCCTTTGTGGGCCGGGTGAGGGAACTGGTCCGGAGGCCCTGGGCGCAGGAGGCGGCGGGGTCTCCAGGAGCAGCCGCTGCCGGGCAGGGTTAGCACGGCCCCCTGGTCGCCTGCCGCCGCGTGCTGCTGGCTGGGCACACTCTGCTGTCGCCCTTACCTGCAGCAGCAGGACTCCCAGTCCCGTGTCTGTCCTTGTGTCCTCGAGGCCAAGGAAACCGGGACACGGAGGTTCCACAACTTGCCGAAGGTCCTGCAGCTGATGGGAGACCTGGAGTCCAGCACCAAGGGGCTGGGTGGCCTGTGACCAGAGGCCACACACCTGCCCTCGGCCCCACCGCCACCGGCACAGTGGCCACTCGCTGACCACCTGAGAGGCCGGTGTCAGGGGGAGCCAGCTAACAGGGTGACAGAGAAGTGCTGTGAGGTGTCCATGGTCTGTGTGTGCCACCGGCGGGCGGTCCCATCCTGTCCCCAGTGGTGCTGGGCCGCACTCACCGCACCGAAAACCCCGTGTCCCCAAGGCCTGGAGAGGCAGGCGCAGCCAAGGGACCGGGCCTCCCTGATCCTCAGGTTGTTAAAGGGACATGAGTCAAAGTGTCTTCTTCTTGTGTGGCCTGGACTGGCCGGGACGGGGAGAGGAGAGCCGAACGCTGGGACCGTGCCCTGGTCACTTGTTCCCATTTGGCCCATCCAGGCCCCGCGTGGCCTGCACCAGTCGATAATCACCGCCTGACGGGTCGCTCCCGTCTCAGAGCACACGCGTGTCGTCCCGCACAGCTCTGCAGGGCGAGGGTCAGAGCAGCCCCGAGTCTCCCGTCAGGCACAGTCAGGCTGTGGGCCCCCACCGTGTCCTCGTGTCCTCGAGGCCCCGTGGGGCTGAGGACCTGCGTCCACGCCGGGCCCGGCAGTGCTGGCCAGTGGCAGGGGGCCTGTCCACAGGGCTGTCGGCGTGTCCTCACAAGGTGGCCGCTAACTGCTCTCAGAGCTGGCGACCCGAGGGCAGTGAGGAGGGAGCCGCAGGGCCTTTGATCAGACTGCCCAGGGTTCTTCCCCTTCCCTTTGGTTAGAAGCAACTCTGCCCGCACTGGGGGCGGGGCGCCGTTAGGCTCTTTGAAAGGGGGTGTCAAAGTTGGTGGGCGTGGCCCAAGCCACCACACCCGGTAACCTTGGAACAGCCCTTGGGGGCTCCCCGAGGACTGGGAGCCCCTCAGTCTGCCCCCCTCAGCTGCCTTGGTTTCGAGGCGGCCTTGAAAAGATTGAGGACAATGTTTATATTGTTCTTTTGACGCAACTCGACCATTCAGCACCGGTCTCCAGCCCCAAACCAGCCGGGGGTGGTGGGAAGGCTCTGGTGAAAGGGGCCAGGTGAGGTCTGGGTGGGTCCCCGAGACCCTCAACCCTGGTCTGCCCGGATCGGGGATGCGAGTTCACAGGCCTCCTTTCTCAAAGCTCTGTTTTCGCCTCCCATGTCTTCCCTCCCAGGCCATTTTGGAGGAAAACAAGGAGAAGCTGCCTGTGGCCGTCAACCCAGTGGCGCGTCCCCGTGACCACATCTTCAAGTGCGTGGCCCCCCTCTCTGCCTTCAGGGAGCTCCTCCTCAGTCCCTTTGCTCACATACCCGCTCTCTCTCTCTCTGACACACACACACACACACACACACACACACAGGGAGGCACTCAGTAGGTCCGCTCTCTCCTGGTGATGCAGCGGTGACTGATGCAGAGGTGGCGTTTGTAGGATGACAGAGAAAAAACACAGAAGTAAGGCATGAGCAAAGCCCCAGAGGGCAGGGTGCACTCTCAGCCTTGGCAGACAGGAGTGGGCTGTGAGGATGCCGGGGGCGGGCGAAGGACCGGCCCACAGCCGGTTTCCGCCAGCTTTGCCCTGTCCAGAGGCACAGGTGTCGTGTCCCCAACTCCTCCGCGTGGGACTGCTCTGCACACCCGTGTTCTCGGTGTGTTCTCCTGTCCTGGTGTGAAAACACAGGCAGGCCTGTGCACGCCGACCCCCCGAAGGCTGGGAGCCCGTGCTGAGAGGGCCCTGCTGGGTACCGGGGCCGGGGAGGGGGCACAGGGCTGCCAGGAGGGGCGGACGGGTGCCGAACGGCCAGGCAGGCAGGCCCAGGCCGGGCACAGCGGCCACGAGCAAGCTCCAGGGCAGAGGGAGGCTCCCCCAGGGCACTCGTTAGCCTCACGCTCACCCGAGGGCACCCAGGGCACCAGCTTCCTTCTTGAGGGTCATGTTCTGCGTGGGTCTGGGAGGTCAGTGGTGTCCACCTGTCCCTGTGTTTCATTTGTTGGACACTCAGTCACCCCATCTCGTTCCAACGGCCTCTCCCAGCAGGGTCTGCACGGATGTGCGGCAGGTGCTTAGCCACCTCACCCACCCCCGCTTCGCCTTCACGCAGAGCGAGGCGGACGCCGACATCCTCTACAGCTTCTCACACTTCAAGGACTACAGGTGAGGCGCCTCCCGGCCGGGCCCCGGCAACCGGCCCCCGGCAACCAGCCCGCAGCCCCCTGAGCCTGTCCCGCTGCCCGGCCGCAGGAGGCTCAGCCAGGAGAGGCCGCACGTGCTGCTGAACCAGTTCCCCTGCGAGAGCCTGCTCACGGTGAAGGACTGCCTGGCCTCCGTCGCGCGCCGGGCGGGGGGCCCCGAGGGCCCGGCCTGGCTGCCCCGCACCTTCAACCTGCACACCGAGCTGCCCCAGTTTGTCAGCTACTTCCAGCAGCGGGAGAGACGGTAGGTGCCCCCCCCCCCACCTCTCCAGGGGTCCGTGCAGCCGAGACCCACGGCTGCTGCGGGGTCGCAGCCTCACCCAAGGTGCAGCCCCCTTGGCTCCAGCAGACGCCTCCTTTACTCCCCGAGGCCCAGCCTCTGACCTGCCCGGGGGGTGGGGGGCTAGGGTCCCTCTGCTGCCCTGGTCCGGGGGACATGTGGCCTGGGAGGGTGGTTCCGGTCCAGGCCAGCCAGCCCCTCTGCCCCCAGGGGCGAGGACAACCACTGGATCTGCAAGCCCTGGAACCTGGCGCGCAGCCTGGACACCCACATCACCAAGAGCCTCTGCAGCGTCATCCGGCACAGAGAGAGCAGCCCCAAGGTGGGCCCAGCTGTGTGCGGGGGGGCACTGGGTACACAGGCCCATGCAGGCGGGCTTGGGGTGGTGCTGATGGGTCACTGAGCTCACGGGGGTCTCTGAAGCCCTTACCCCGCCAGCAGGGAGGGGCCGTGACGGTCTGTGAGAGGAAGAGCCTCAGTCAGCCGTCTGAGGTGTGTCCGACCGACCTCAGAGGCCTCACACAGTGCACCGCCCTGACCACACGGCAGGAGTGAGATGCTGGGCCCATAGCCAGGGACCCCAGACCCCACACCTGGGCAGGGGCCGAGGGAAGCTGCCGCGGGGCAGGTGGTCACAGGGATTCTCCGGCCGTGCAGTGGGGAGCCGGCGGGGTTCGGGCTGAGAATGAGTTCAGTTTCCAAAACCTGAAGCCTGGTGGGGTCTTTTCCTCCCACTAAAGTAAAGAAGCAGCTAAGTCGTCCTGGGCTAGACCAGGGTTGAAAGTGCAGAGGAAGACGAGAAGCACAGGCCGTGGCCCCCCCACACACGGGGACAGGAGGAGCTGCGGGAGCACGCTCGTTCCTCAGGACCTGGGGACGGTGGCCGTAGAGGCCCGGGGCACCTCTCGTGAGCCTGCACCTCTGCCTTCTAGGTTGTGTCCAAGTACATCGAAAGTCCTGTCTTGTTCCTGCGAGAAGACGTGGGGAGGGTCAAGTTCGACATCCGCTACGTCGTGCTGCTGCGGTCGGTGAAGCCCCTGACACTGTTCGTCTATGACGTGTTCTGGCTGCGCTTCTCCAACCGGTAACTGGACGGGCCAGGCGGGCTGGGCAGGCTGGGGGGCCAGGGCAAGGGGCAGGCCCCCCCTGAGCAGCTCAGGCATCCTGGGCCGGGGCGCCCTCACCACGCACCCCACAGGGGACCCGCCAAGCCGTCAGCCACTGTAAAGGGTGTGAGTGGCCCTTGTCAGACGGGCACCAGCACCACGGGGGTCCCTGTAGTGAGTCGTGAGGGGCCATGGGGAGCCCGGTGCCCTGCCCAGGGGACCCACTCAAGGGTCTGCCTGCCTGTCCTGCAGGCCCTTCGCCCTCGACGACCTGGATGACTACGAGAAACATTTCACTGTCATGAACTACGACCCAGAAGTGGTGCTGAAGCAGGTAAGGGCCTGGGGAGCGGGTTCACACGGACCAGACCTCCAACCGTCAGCCAGTGTACCTGGCAGGCTGTGCAGACGGTCAGCAGGGCTGCCCCCCAGCCCCTGTGTGGTCTCAAGCCGCCCGGAGCAAGCGCAGTATGAGGTCACTGGGGAGGCCCTAGGGTGTGGGAGCCGAGCGGGGTTTCGGCCTCACCCAGAAGCATGGCTTGCCTTCTACTCGGAACCTTCCGGGCACCAGGGCAAGGGAGGTGGGGAGGCCCAGAGGTGCGTGTCACCTGGCCCCGTGGGGCATGGGCAGAGGTGGGAGGGCCACTGTCCCCGGAGAAACCCTGGTTCTCCACTGACACAGTGAAGAATTGCAGGTTGGCGCGCCCGTTAGCGTGCGGGCAGCATTTATCAGTGACCGGAGAGCAAGAGCAAGGTGGCCAGGGGCCCCCCCACCCCGCCTCCCAGCACTGTGTGTGGCAGGAGAGCCCCGAGGACGGACTGTACAGAGTTGATGCGGGGGTGAGGGAGTTACATACTGACTGAGGGGCGAAGGCGGGAGACGTGACTGCCCAGACGCAGGTGTGGGCGGGGTCTGTTAGCCGGAATCCTTCTCTTGCTCCAGACTCTGTTCATTCTGCATCCGAGCCATGAGGGAAGGCGGGCACTTAACCGAAGCTGTTTTATGGGCCTTTTCTTTGGGCACCGTGGACCCCTCCCCTTCCCCTTCCAGGCCTTGGGGTGAACACACAGTCTCAAGGTTTTCCTTTTCGCAGCCCGTGGGGCTGATCCCCCCAGACTCTCAGGGCCCCCTGCACTGTCATAGTTTGCTCTCATTCGGAGAGGCCGGCAGCCTCCCCGGACCAGGCTCAGGACGACTAGGCCCCGGGCGAGGCTGCCTTCCTCTGCTCCAGCCTCCTGTGTCATTTGTTAGACTGCAGCGGTGAGGGCCCTGCCTTTACTTCCTCTCTGGCCACTCATTCCAGGCTGCTGCCTGAGTGTTGGAAGGCGTTGCCTGGCAACCAGGACGCTGTAGTTGCCGACTGGCCAGCAGCAGCAGCAGCATCAGTAGCAGAACAGTCTCTGGGCTCTTCCTGTGCCTGCTGTCTCCTGCAACAGCCCTGCCTGGTTTCTCCCCCTGCCCCGCACTGTCTGGGTGCCTGCAGCAAAGGGACATCAGGGCAAAGTTCCTTTCAAGGAAAGGGCATTGAGCCCCATCTGGCCAACTGGGGACCCAGCCCGTAACCCAGGCAGGTGTCCTGACTAGGAACTAAACCGGCAACCTTTCAGTTTGCCCGCTGGCACTCAGTCCACTGAGCCACACCAGCCAGGGCTCGTCTTGATTCTTCGCAGCAAGAGTTCATCCCTGAACAAGTCAGAGGGCTGTTCTGCACGCTCAGGTTGTTGTGTAAACAGTGTCCTGTTGAACAAACCCTCCCACAGCTTTCTCCTGCTGCTGGGCGTCCAGTGTTCAGAGTTGTCGCCGCTGTCCGTGTAGTTGCAGGTCGTTCTGGGGTGGCTCGCCTCTCGTTCACAGACTTCGAGGTCATTTCTGGGCTTTCACCGTGAGCTTACAGCACTGGACGCGCACGGAGATGCCCAGCCGTCCCACGCCTGAGAGGTCCCCCAGAGCGGGTGGTGCTCCTGGTCTCCAGCGTCTGTTGCTGGGACGTTGTTGGACCTTGTCCCTGGGGAACTAGTGTCTTCCTGCTGTGTTGTGAATGTGTCATCCTGAGGGTCACATTTCTTCCAAAGCCCCCACAGGTGGGGACACATGTCCGGGAGAGGCACGAACGCTGGGCCTCTGTGGGGAGCCCAGCCTGGTTTTCTCCCGGAGAATCCTATGCTGACAGCCAGCTGCTCCAGCGAGTTTGGGGAGGCTCAGCCTGCGAACACGTTGCTGCCGTCCGGCCCTGGGAGCTGCCGAGCGGGGAGCCCAGTCCTGGGCCCTGCAGACATGGGTCCCGGGGCTGCTCCCTTTGTACCGTCCTGACCCGGGCGTGGTGGCCTGACCTTGCGGCCTGCCAATCCCTCAGGTCCCTCAGCGAGTTGTGTCTGTTTGAGGCTCACGGCGGCCCTGCAGAATGTGCTGAGCAGGGGGTGTGGTCCCGTTTCATAGATAAGAGCCCTAAGGCGCCCAGAAGTAAACCTTCTTGTCCAGAGTCACGCCCAGTCTCCTGCCGCCCAGGAGTGCGACAGGCAGGCGGCTGGTGGGGCCCTGTGATCCCAGCGAGCGTCGGGCCCACGTCAGGGCAGGCAGAGCGTGACGGGCCCTGTGTCTGTGGCAGGTGCACTACGATGAGTTCATTCCCGAGTTCGAGAAGCAGTATCCAGAATTCCCCTGGCAGAGCGTCCAGGTACTGAGCACAGTGGGAGGGGCCCGGGCCCCTCTGTGGGCTGGCATGGGGGGCCTCCTCTGGGTGGTCCTGCTCCTCCCAGAGGCTGGCGTGTGGTGCAGAGGGCTCCAGGGGGGAGGAGAGCTGGAGGGATGTTTGGGGTGCCCTTGGGACAGCCAGACAGCTGCAGGCTGACTTCCACATGTGGAGGGAACCCTTCAGGTGCTCTGCCTACCTCGGTGCAGGGGGAGTCGAGGGACTTCCAGGCAGGAGACATGGGCGGGTGGATGCCAGGAGTGAGCGGGCCAGGCGTCGGATAGAGGGGCTACGGCCAGGTCTGGGGACACGCAAGGGCATGGGAGGGGGTGACTCAGGCCATTTGGGGGCTGGGCTCCAGAAGGGGCAGCAAACCCCACATTGAGAGGCCACTTTGGGGAACTGGTCCCGACATCAGAACCGGTCCCCTGACCCAGCCCCCCGCTGTCCCCAGGCCAAGATCTTCCAGGCCTTCAGGGAGCTGTTCCAGGTGGCCTGTGCCAAGCCGCCGCCCCTTGGTCTCTGCGACCACCCCTCGTCCCGGGCCATGTACGCCATCGACCTCATGCTGAAGTGGGACAGCCGTCCGGATGGTGAGGGGCGTCCCCCATAATCCAGACACCACCCCCATCACCCAAAGCCCATTGTCCAGCACCCCCACTGCCCCTCCCCATCAGGGGACAGAGGGAGCGGTGAGCAGGGCTGCCTGGGTCATCCTTTGCCCCCAGTTAGGGGAGACAGCTGGGTCTACAGAGCCCCCCACTGAGGAAGGGGGGAAGGGTGGTCGTGTGTGGGGGAGTGGCCGGCCCCCTGCTGAGCCTGCAGCTCCGCTTCCTGTGTGAGTCACTAGCGCTAGACCAGTCGTGGGGGCGGAGACCCTCCAGCTTCTCCCCTTCCCGGAGTGAGGTGCCCTGTGCTTTGTGCCCCCAGGAAAGCGAGTGATGCAGCCACAGATCCTGGAGGTGAACTTCAACCCGGACTGCGAGCGAGCCTGCCGGTACCACCCGACCTTCTTCAACGACGTCTTCAGCACCTTGTACCTGGACGAGCCCAGCGACTGCCACGTCACCCGCCTGCTGTAGGCGCTCGGCCCTCCTGCTCCTTCTCGCACTGGGTTCCAGCCTCTGGGCTGCTCCTGCGACGCCCCCTCCACCTCTCCCCTCCCTCTGGGCACAGGCGGGCCATGTCCCAGCTCCACCCTGGGGCACAGGGCCCTACGCGCCCCCCGCAGGCCGGGAGCAGGGCCATCACACACCCTCTGCACTGGCCGTGCGGCAGTTCCTCTCAACACAGCCCGCTGTGTTCCCTGGGGTGTCAGCAAAAGGAGTTTGGGGGGCGTGGCGAGGTGTCCTCCGGGAGCCCAGGCGTGAACAGGGCCAGGCCGGCTCTCATGCACCGTGGCCCTTGCTCCTCCCCCAGGGCCCCGTGTGACAGGCGCCCCCAGAACGCACTGGGGAGCCTGCCTGCCAGACGTGGCCTCCAACCCCACCCCGACCCCAGCTCAGTCAGAACCTTCACCAGCAAACCTGTGAGTTCTGGGGCAGCAGATCGCTGCCTCTTGTTTCTGATGCCTTGCCATTTAGCCAGGGCTCCCTGTCCTGGTCCCTGGGGTCCCTGGCACTCCCTGGTTCCACCCTGGTCTGAGTTTGGGTGGCGCTTTGTCAAGGGGACCAGCATGGGCGCCAGAGCACCAGGCAGCGGAGGCTTTGGGAGATGCTCCCACCAAGGACTTCACGTCACTCCCACTGGGGCCTGGAGTCCAAGTGCTGGTTTACTGTTACTCTTTCATTTAAGGGAAGAAAGTAGAACATCTCGTTCTTACTGTTGTTTCTGAAACTCGGAGTCACTGTGCTGTGCGGCCACAGTGCGCCGGGCCCTGCTCCCGGGGTGGTGGCCCGGTGGCTCCCCGTGCAGAGGGGGCTTCCACGCCGGCGTCGCTGTGTCTGTGTTGAGGGTGGGGGTGCTCGTAGCATTCCGAAGCCAAGAGCAGTCCCTGTAGCAAAACTGGACCAGACTGTGGCTCCCGTCTCCGAGTGGTGGTGTCTGTCTGTCCGTCCTTTCTGTTGACGAGAACCTCAGCACTTCAGTCAAGCAGAGGTACAGCAGGCGGGACACCTCATCTCAGCCGCTGGCGTTCTGTCCCCTCAACTGGATTTGTACCACAATAGAGTCTGCCTTCTGCACTTGGGCCTCCCTGTGTAGGGGGCACCAGAAACCACCAGGCAGGCATGCTGTCCGCCGCCTGCCCTCTGGTTACAAAGAAAACCAGAGCGTGGAGATGTAAGACACAAGAAGAAATCAGATGGTGTCCTGGCCGGGCAGCCCTGCTGGTTAGCACATTCTCCAGATGTGCCAAGGTCGTGGGTTCGATCCCCGGTCAGGGCACAGGCAGGAATCAACCAATAAAGGCATCATAAGTTGAGGGGCAAATCGATGTTTCTCTTAAATCAATAAATTTAAGAAATTGAGGAAACAGAAAAAGCAGCTGGTGTTCGGGGCTCCAAGGCCCCATCCTGGGGGCTGGTGTGTCTGCAGATTTGGTGTCTGATGAGGGTCCACTTCCTGGTTCACGTGCAGCCACCTCACCGTGTCCTCACGTGCGGAGGGCTGAGGGAGCTCCGGGGCCTCTGTGCGGGGCACTGACCTCCACCCCAGGGCCCCGGCCTTGGCCTCATCACCCCCAAAGGCCCTGCCTCCTGATACCATCACATTGGGGTCAGGATTTCAGCACATGGTTTTAGGGGGGAAAGACCCTCAGAGCAGACCACAGCGGTTCCCTAACCCAGAGTGTGGGTCCCCTGCGCTGGTCTCAGTTCAGAGCAGATGGGGGGGCGGGTCTGATGCCTGGGAACCTCTATTGAGTGACCCCAAGTTGGCTGCTGCACTTAACATTGGAGGCCTTAGGCCCTGGACTCCCTCTGTGCCATGTCCTCATCCTGGGTTTAGGGGACAGTCAGTGTCCCTAACTGCTCAAGGGAGGAGCAGAGGTCCAGCAAGCTGATGCACAAGCACTGTGGTAGCTGCAGGCCAGTGCAGTGGCGCCCCCTGGAGGTATCAGCAGGAAAGGGAAGGCAGAGGCCCTCCCACAGCTGGGCAGCCTGACCCCAGGCAGGTTCTCAAAGGGAACTGCAGCTCCAGGGGCCCTCCTGTGGCCCAGGGCGGAGCTCGCACCAGGTTACCCACCCAGCTGCCACAGGGACCGTCCTCCACACTCCCAGTTCTCCTGCAACCTGACTGCCCAGGACACTCCTGGGGGGGGCACGGTCAGTGGGGCCAGAGGACCCTGGGGTCCCCAGGTTATAAACATACCAGTCCACCTGGCTGGTGTAGCTCAGTGGACTGAGTGCCGGCCTGCAAACCAAAGGGTCGCCGGTTTGATTCCCAGTCAGGGCGCATGCCTGGGTTGCGGGCCAGGTCCCCAGTGGGGGTACACAAGAGGCAACCACGCATTTATGTTTCCCTGTCTTTCTCCCTCCCTTCCCCTCTCTAAAAATAAATAAAATCTTAAAAAACTAAAAAAAACTTCATAAAAAGCCAGAATTTGCAAGTGTGGGGCACCAGAAGTCAACCACCCCAGCAGCTGGACCGAGTGCACCAAGGTTCTACGGTGGTGCTGGGAGCCCCAAGGTGAAGTGTGAGGGCCAGCCCTCGGTGGCCGCCTGCACCACACACACGGCGGCTCTGCTGGACGGTCATGGACGTGGGCTAATCTCGGTGCAGGACAGGCAGGGCGTCCTCCCACCTGCCAAGTCCGGGGCAGCCAGACACAGAGTGAACATGCTTAGCAAGCCCCTAAGAGTCGCGCCGCCGGCCCACCCACCTGCTGAGCCCTCTGGGCTGCGTGAGCGGCTCGCTCTGTGTGACAGTCCATGGCCGATCAGGCGGACAGGGAGGCAGATGCTCTGGTTCAAGACCTCAGCTGCGTGAGGTGGCTCCAGGAAAGGGTGCAGCCCCCAGGAAAGGGTGCAGCCCAGAGGACCCGATAAATCCGTGAGGCATAGATTTTCCTATTAAACCAACGTGGAAGTTCTCGGCACCCTCAAGTCCCTAGTGGATGGTAACAGCTCAGAAAAGGAGAGAGCCCTGGCTGGGTGGCTCAGTTCATTGGAGCCTCGTCCTATAGACCAAAGGTTGTGGGTTCGACCCCCAGTCAGGGCACATGCCCAGGTTGTAGGTCTGATTTCCGGTTGGGTGAGCACAGGAGTCACCCAATCGATGTTTCTCTCTCCCCCACCTCCACTATCCCTAAAAATCAATATAAACCTCCTCCGGTGAGGATTAAAAAAGAGAGGAAGGAATGGAAACCAGAGAAAGCATCAGGAGACAGCCAGCAAACACAACCACTAAACGCCTCCTTCTTTTGCCCATTTTTCTGGCGTTTCTGTGATTATGTGTTTTGTGGCCAGAGGGACGCATGTGGGTTATTGCTAGAGAAGAACAAACCCACAGGTGTAAGGAATGGACAAAAAATTGTGAGTGAGCCTCATGGAAACGTCCCGGAAGTCGCTGGCGCGGCGCCCGTCAGACACACGTGGCGCCTGACCTTCACGGAGAACTTCGGAACCTGCGGGCAGCTGGCCGAGGGCTCGCAGCTCGGAGCTGCTGGGTTCCTGCAGAGCGTGGTCCTCTCGGGCATCAAGTCCCAGGTGAGCTGAGGGTAGGCAGGCGAAGGACAGCCCCCTGCTCAGACGGCAGCCAGCTGTCTCTGCTCAGCTCCTCCCTGGGCACTTGGTCATCCGGGGTCAGGTCTGGCTGTGGAGCCGGGAGGAGGGCGGAGGAGGCCAGACGGCAGGAAATGTAAAAGGTTTGTGGACTCGAGTTGACTTACTCAACAACCAGGAACAGCACTGACGTGGGAGATGCGCCCGTGGGCGAGGCCCCCGCCCGGCAGCCCCTCTCGATCTGAACCTCGGCCTGGGGAGGCTGCAGACCACCTACCTGAAGTCAGGGATGACACCCCCAACCCTGGGCTGCTGTCTGGTGGGTGGGGGAGCAGCCCCCCCCACAGGCAGGTCAGTCGGTGTCCCCAGCCCCATTCTGACTGAGGCGGACTGAGAGGACCTGAGGGGACTGTGGCCCACTGAGGGCTCAGTGGAAGCCCACGGCCTGGCCTGGTCCGCAGCGGCCAGGCAGCAGCACAGCCATGTGGGCTCCGGGTCCGACTCGGGCCTCTCCACCCTGGGCAGCCACCTCACCTCTTCCAGGGCCCAGGGAGGGCCCCCAGGAGCGTGCAGGAGCCTTGAGGAGGTCCAGCCTTGCCAGGTGACACAGCCCCCAGGCAGATCCAACCGGAGGATGAGCCTCCTCCCCCCAAGAGCAGGCCCCACCCCCCAGAAGAAAACTGGCACCAGATTAAAAGCTTTATTTGGTTAATAAAACGCTGCAGGCCGAGGCCACGCCCCAAGCAGTGCAGGAAGTGCAGGGCGCTGCTTCTAGGGTGCGGCTCCGCCCGGGACAGCTCCCAGCTCTGGTCTGGGGCCCAGACAAACTCACAGGTTTGGTGGCCACAAAAGCCCGAGGGCCGCCACCACCAGCAAGGCCTGCTTGGCAGCAGCCACGGTCCTCGGAGGGAGGGCACTTCATTCCCCTAGCCTCCGGCCGCCACGCCGGCCGTAGTTGTCCCGCCAGACGCAATAGTTGAGCACAGACGCAAAGGCCAGCCAGGCCAGGTACGGGTAGAGCAAGCGGGCGGCAGGGGGGCTCACCTTGTACCAGGCCACGGTGGTGGCTGCTGCCAACCCGCCTATCATCAGCAGGTCCACCAGGGCCTGCGGAGACATGCAGGGGAGGGAGGACAGGGAGGCCTGTGAAGCAAAGCACCCACCCGCCGCCACACTACAGCCATCCCTCCATTCCACCCCTAAACGATTTGGCCAAGGCAAGGCCCTCCCCAGTTCTCTGTCTCGGTTTCCCCATATAGGAAATGGGAACGTTTGCCCTGCCTGACCCATGCCACGTTGGGGGTGCAATGTGGGTTCTCCTACAGAATGGCCCCTAAACCCAAAGCCAGCAGCCCAGTCCAAGCCCTGCAAGGCTCCTTCACAGGAGGAAGAGCAGCTGGGGAGGTGCCACAGGAGGGCGCTGTTCCCCAAAGACCTTCTGAAGACAGGCAGACCTTGGGCTTTGGAGCCTGACCCCGTCTGGGATGTGATGCCACGTCCCTCCCTCCATGAGCCACCTCCAGGGACCAGGGAGACACTCACCCAGCCCATCTGTCGGGCACCGAAGAAGATGGGAGGCCATGCCCAGTTCAGGGTCAGCTGCCCGGCGTAGAGGCCCAGGGGAACCACGGCCTCCTCCGAGAAGCCCCCCAGCTCTTTCCAGACCAGGTAGGAGCCATATCTGAAACAGAGGCCTGCTATCAGGGCAGCATCGAGGAAAATGCCAGAAGCCTCCCTACTGGGCAGGGTACCAGGCTCACTCACCCCCGGAACCACAGAGTGAAGACTCAGGCACACCCCGCCACCGGCAGCTACGTGAGCTCGGGATTGCCGCCTGACCCCTCTGGGGTTCCTCCCAGGGTTGCCGAGGGGATCCACGCTGACCCACTGGCAGTGCTCAGGGCGGTGCCTAGCACAGGAGCGCTCCATATGCAGTGACGGTTATTCTCCCTATTGGTGCTGTGGTGGAGGAAGCACTCGAGGCTCCTGTCCTAGCCAGGGCATTGCACAGAACGGTGGGACTTCTGGGCTGGGCCTCACAGGATGAGTAGGAGTTTGCAGGGGCAGTTAACAAGGATATGCCAAGGCTTCGAGGCAGGCGTGAGCCCCTGAGTCAGCCTGCATGGCAGCAGACCAAGGTCTTGGGGGCACCAGAGAGGTGAAGCTGAGCAGGCAAAAAGGGACCTGGTCATGGGGGCTCGATATTCGGGCTACCAGTGCTACAGCCCCACCTCCAGTCAGAGTGGCTAAGGCCCTTGGACACCTGCACACCCCAGGCTCTGCAGCCCTTCCCGGGTGTCAACTCATTTCCCCCTCAGGTGAAAGGTAGGAGGTGGGCAGGAGGATCAGGTGGGAAACTGAGGCACAGTAAGGCGAGATGTCTGAGATTTCTTAACAGGCCATCGATCGGCGAGTCGAGCCAGGATTTGGACCCCGGTGACCAGGGCCAGAGGCCGGGGCCTCGACTCTGAGAGGGTTGGTGAACCTAATCAGGACGTACGAAAGCTTCCACTCGGACCCAGGGAAGGCGGGGCCCACCCTTGAGCTTCATCAGGATCTCTGTGTGTGGTAAGTGCCGAGGAGGAGTGGGAGGCCTGGAGGCCAGAGCAAGGTGGAGCAGCAGCGGGCGTCTGGGCCAGGCCTGGAGAGGAGGCGGCAGGCCAGAGAAGTGCTGGCAGCCTAGCTGGGCCGGGCCTGGACCTGGGCCTGGCGGGGCGTGGGGCCCAGGCGACACCCAGGTTTCAGGGATGGTCTTCTTCCCACCAGAACCCTGGGGCACCCAGCCTGGCCTCTGCTACCTGCCCCTAGGGTGCCTAGCATCTGCAGCCCCACCCTGCCCTGGGCTGGCTTAGAATCAGGACGCAGGGAACATTCCAGAAGGTGAGCAGGAAGCTGACCTCAACTAAGTGCAGTTCCCATTGAAGCCGCCAGGGGGCACCCACACACAGAGCACTTCCTTTTACCACAGCCATTTCCAGGGTCTAGTCCAGGGGCTGGGGGGGGGCGGGTGCGCCCACACTCTGGCCCTGCGTTCCCCCAAGGTCCCTGGTCAAAGTCGGGAAGAGGGTGGTTATGCACGGACTGGTGTGGCTCAGTTGGTTGGGCGCCGTCCCACAAAGAGAAAGGTCGCTGGTTCAATTCCCACTTAGGGCACATGCCTAGGCTGTGGGTTTGATTCTGGTCGGGACACAACGGATCAGTGTTTCTCTCCTTTTGTTTCTCCCTCCCTCCTCTGCTCTCCAAAAATAAATAAATAAAATCTTTTTTTTTTAAGGTGGGGCCGTGAAAATTACCCGAGGCAGCCTGGCATCAAGAAGGGGCGCTCCACAAATGGAAACTACTATGAATGCTGCTGTTCTCACTGCCATTGATCTCGGAGGCGCCCACGCTGCCCATGCCTGAACTTTGCACACTGAGCCGGGCCTGCCCTGGAGTTGTGAAAACAGCCAGGATGCCAGTGTGGGGTTGAGCCATCGGCCCGCCCCTCCCAGGAGGCCCTGGAGGGGAAGGTTCCGAGCTGCAATCAACTGGTCCTGCAGCTTTCTCCGCCCTCAATGGGTGAGTGAAGCGGGAAAGGGTGCGGCTGCCCCAGGAGCACTGGACAGTCCTGGGGCCCTGGAAAGGGGAGGATAGCCCTGCCCACTGCCTGGGCGGGTGCACTGGCCCACCTACCCCATGGCCGAGTACAGTGTGCCCCAGATGGGGCCCAGCGTCCAGCGGGGTGGGTGCCACGAGGGCTTCTGCAGGCTGGCATACCAGCGGAGGCCCTCTCCACGGACGTAGTAGGAGCTCACAAAGCCCCCCAGGCTGGGTGCCAGTGTGAAGCCCACGGCGGGCAGGCAGGGCGGTGCCATCGCTGCTTGAACCGCTGTCCCAGAAGCTCTGAAAGAGAAGACGGGGCTCGGTGAGAGGAGGGGCGCTCCAGGGCCAAGGCTCCACCGAGCGGTTCCCAAGGCCCTACTGTGTGCAGAGCAGACCCGGGGTCAGAGTGTAGATCTGTTAGCAGCCCCTAATCATTCACTGGAAAGAAAGACAGGGAAGCTCGGATAACAGGGGCCAGGCAGGAGGGTTGGGCTCATGCAGCCCAAGCTGCCACCCCAGCCCCACGGCTCCAGGGGGCACATTCCCACCCAACCCCCCTCCTGGCACCCAGGAGGCAGCCCTGACTCCAGGAGCCTCTCCGGTGCCCCTGCCCCCACTGCTGGCTCCCCCTCAGCTCCTGCCCCAGCTGCCAGGGTCCTGGGCCCTCACCCTCAGCCTGCACCGTGGGTTTCCTGGCAAGTGGGCCCTCCACTCTGCCACCGCACTCCGGCCAGTTGGGTCCCCTCCAGCACTTTCCCCAGGCCAAGTGCCAGTGGGGAGCAGTGCTGGGGGCAGTGCTGGGGGCAGGCTCTGGGAGAACTGCGAGAGTCCGTACCCTGCGCTTTACATTCCGGAAGTTCTTGTTCATCCGTCACTCATTCGTGCCTGGGGCAGAGCCTGGCTCAAATCCTGGCTCCCCATTGACTCACTGTGACCTCGGGCAAATCACTTCACCCTCTGGGCTGGCCTCAGTTTGTCCCTCTGTACAATGGGACATCAACCTGGCCTACCTGGGCCCAGTCCAGTGTGGGGACTGTCTCTGTACACAGGTGATTCACACCACCCCACGGGCCCACCCTAAAATCACCCTCCCTTCCCGTGTGCCAGAGAAGGAGTGCAGCCGTCCGGGCGGCCACACAGCACTCGGGGGCCAAGCTTTGCCTGGGTGGAAAGCCTGCTCCCGCCTTGACAGCCAGGGCCACTGAGGTGGTGAGTGGGAAGGGGCAGGAGGCAGCAGGAGCTCAGGGCTGGGGATGTCCCCGCGGCAGCCCTGAGAGGCTGGCAGGCTCAGGGCAAGGAAGGCCTGGACGCCGCCACCTGCAGGGCTGGGGACCGGGCAGCAGGCCGCTCCGTTATGCTTGCTGGCCACACCCCCTTGCCCAGCAGCCTCAAGGTCCATGCTGATGACCTACTAGGTGCCCAGCAGCACGCCATGCTCCTGGCAAGCTGAGATGCTCACTGGGGCTGAGGGTATATGGGAACTCTGTAACATTTCCGTGAGTCTAAGACTAGTACAAAATGCAGCCCAGGCCAGGTTGGAGCATCGTCCTGACCCACCAAGGTTATATGCTCGACCCCTGGTCAGGGCACAGACAGGAATCAACCAATGAGTGCATCCGTAAGTGGAAAAACCAAACAATTTCTCCCTCTCCCTTCCTTTCTCTCTCTCTAAAAATCAATAAATAAACATTGAAAAGAAATAAATAAAACTACGAAAAGTATCCCGGTTGGAGCGGTAACTTGCCCAGTGCTTGGTATCTGTTCCTCCATCAGCCCTCGGGCCCCGGGGTCCCGGCCCCTCCGCCTGCCCATCGGAGCCCCCACTTCCTCCACATCCCTCGGCTCCAGGACCATATTGGCTCCTGTCCATCCAGTTTTGCCTAGTTTTTTAAAAATTGGACTGCAATTCACAAAATTTCTCTCTCTTCTTTTATCTTCACAGGAGGACATTTTTTTCATTGCTTTCAGAGAAGAAGGGGAGAAAGAGAAACATGGATGTGAGAGAGAAGCATCGATGGCTACCTCTCGCAGGCTCCTGACGGGGCACCGAACCCGAGAACTCCCAGCGCCTGGGCTGGCACTCCCGCCCACCCAGCCACACGGCCAGCGCGGAGACTAGTCACTTGAAAGTGCACGACTCAGTGGCATTTAGTACACTCCAGGGCTCGGCAATCACCATCGATCTCAAGTTCTAAAACAGTCAGTCCATCACCCCAAAAGAGCTTCCGCACCCCTCATCCACCTCCTCTGCATGTTTCCTGCAGAGGGAACCCTACAACCGCGGCCTCGGGTTGGCCTTCTTTCACTGGGCATGTTTTGAGGCTCACCCACATGGCAGCCTGCGTCCGGACTCCCCAAGGCTTTGTGGGCGAGGATGTTCGTGGCACCCTGACACAGCACCCACCACTCGCCTAAATCCCCACAGAGGACGCACCGGTGCGCCAGCTGACAGGGCCCCAGAGCCCGCCATCCGGTCCCGCCCCCACCCCCAGCGCCAGGCAGAGCAGGGTGTGAGCTGGCGGCCCTCCTGCCCCGCCCCCGGCTGCACCTAGGTGGGCTTGGCACTTCCTCTAGGCTGGGGCGGGGCCCAAGCCATGGGCTGGAAAACAGGGCGTCCAGCTCCCCATGTGGAGAGAGCTAGGCAGGGAGTTTCCTGGAACTCTGGGGACTGCTTGGCCCCGAATCACCCCACTGGGGGACTGACTGAGCTGAGTCACACTGGGCCAGAGCGAGATCCACTCTGGAAGGGGGCCCCAGGGAGGGCCAGGACGCACCCATGGCCAGGAAGGGGCTTGGGACTCAGGCAGAGGGGTGCGGGCACGCACCCTTAGTTCTGTCTCTGTCAACAGGTGCCCAGGAACCCAAAGCTTGGCTCTGCCTCCGATTGGCTTGGTGACCCAGGGCCAAAGCACTTCTCTGGGCCCCAGTTTCCCCCTATGGCAAGTGGGGACAAGCTGCCCGGCCTGCTTCACGGCGTTGATACAGGGTGCAGCCAGGGGGCCCCCCAAAAAAGATTTGGAATGGTGTCCAGAATTCAAAGTGTATAAGAATATTAGAGAGACATATAAGATGTCCTCACACCTCCCCCCCCAGGGGGAAGAAACGAATGGAGCAAGGCCATTGAGAGCTGTTTTGCATAGCAACAGTTTTGCAGCTAACCTCTGGAATGGTTATTTAACACATCTATAACCTTTAACTGGTTTCATAGATATGTTAAATAGCAGTGGCCAAGTTTGGAGCCAGGGAGAAGGGAGTAGCGGGGATTCATGATGGTAACGAGGGGCTGCGCTCCTGAGTGAGAGGGCCTGTGTGAGAGCTTGGAAAAGATGGGCTCCAGGACATGAGGGGATAACTGCCCAGGTGAGGAGAGGATCACACCGTTTGCGGCAGAATGGAGATCCCTACAGCCAGGTGAAGAAGAAAGCCACGTGCTTTTGGTGGAGTGCAGACTCCTGCAGCTTTGATAGAAGAGGCCCACGCGGCTTTGGGGTGCCCCCTTTGGCCACGGGGCCTGAAAAGCAAGAGAGACCTTGACTGGAACTGGGTACAAAGAACTCTTGCCAGTGGACCATGAGAGGGTACCACAGTACTTTGGATTAACTAGACATCCTGCCTGCACGGTGACACAGCTGACGGTGCCAGCGGCCTGCAACACAGACGTGTGCTCTTTTCCTGATTTACGGTACCCAGAGTTGGCACAGTGGGAGAAGGGAGCACTGTGTGGGTGTAGGTGTACAACCTAAAGGACTTTGATATTTTAGTGGAGGCATTAGGCCTGAATAGTATTAAATAAACATTTTGTTTCCTTTTCACAAATCTCTGGCTTTAAAAGATGTCTTTCCAATTGGCGGCGGACAGAAGGGCCCAGTAGATTTTAGTATTTTGTTTTTGGGAGGGGCCCCTGTTGTATAGCAGTTTTGGGCATCCCTAGGTGGGCCAAATATTGTATTGCCCCTCCCTCGGACCTCTTGTTCGGTAACAGCCTCATGGGGAGGTCACATGAGGACCAGATGAGTGAGGGGCCGTGGCAAGTTGGAGGGCACTTGCCCCGTCTCCCCCCACCCCAAGGAGCAGGCCCCAGGCTGAGAAATGTCAGCTGGGCGGCCACCAGATATTCAGGCAACAAAGCTTCACATGTGGCCCCGCCCTCAGCCTGGGGCCACTGTCCGGGATGCCTCCTAAACAGGCCAGGCATCAGGCTCGGCGAAGAAGGCTCAGCACCCGGGTCAGGAGAAGGTTCTAGGCCTCTGGGAATGACGGCAGGCACGGGGCTGGTGGAGGTCCTCACCCCGCTGTTCTCTCCGGCAGCCGCAGGGGAGGGGCCCCCTCGGCCTCCACGGTGGACTGGTGACTACTGCCAGGGCCCGGAAGGGGAAACTGAGGTACAAGGAGTCCCAGAACTTTCCGGGTCATCCTCACCCCCTGAGCTGGGAGCCTGCTGGGCCACACGGCCACACACCCACTCACGGCTGTGTCACCTCCCCTCTCTCGGCCTCCTCCCTCATCCCAACAAGGCGCAGGAGGCCTGCCCCGCCTCACCTCAACTGACCAGGGGGCCAACAACCTCACTCTTTCCAGCCCCAAGGCCAATGTCCCGGCCCTCCCTGCACATCAGGGCAGCAGATATGCCAGCCGAAGCTCCCTGTCCCCAGACTGGGACCCAGGACCTCCCATCCTGTGATGCTTCGCTCCCAGCCCGGCAGCCTCACCTCCCAGGCCTCTGCGTCCCCATCTGTTAAGTGGGGCTGAGCCAGTGGGTCTCTGGGGGATCCTGTGGTTCGCTGTGGGGTCTCTACAGGTGACCCTCCCTGTAGAAGGTGACAAAGCCCGGAAACAGCACAAAGGGTTTTGCGCTTTCTCTGGCCCCTCCTTCCCCAGCTGTACCCAATCCTCCTGGCTTATCCCTCCCTGGAAGTCACCACTGTCCCAGGGACTTGGTCGGCCGGTTTGTGTATAAGGACTCACAGCCAGTCCTCCTCATCATAACCTTTGCAGAGCTTTTCTGCTGTGAAAGCGTCCAATGTGCCAGCCGCTGGGTCGGAAGGAGCGACACCCCCCACCCCCAGGAAGGTCTGGGCCAGGGCAGGGCTGGGGCGCTAAGGGGGAGCTTGCTTTATGGAGCATGACTACCTTTTGCACACGGAGAGCACACCCAGGTCTTGCTTGCACAATGAAAAGTGAGTAAAAGAGAATACAAATTAATGAAACCCAGATTCAAAAATAAAATAATGAAAAGGCAAAAGTGCACACCGTCCAAAGTAGGCACCCTCCAGGGCAGCCCAAGCCCCAGCCCCTCCCCTGAGCCACGGCCCGGGAGGTGTGGGGTGGGACCCCAAAGGTTCCAACCTCGGCTGCTCTGCTCTGCCACTGCAGGTCTAACTGGGACAGTGGCCCCTGGGTGGCCCCAGTGCCCCCCAATTCAAAGGGATGCCTTGGGGGCCCCCGGAATGCCTGTGCGGCTCCCTCTGGAGACAGGAGGAGGCAGCCTGCCTCGCTGCCTCCCGAAGAGGCCTGCGACCCTCCCCGCCTCCTTCCTCAGCTCCTTCCCCATCAGGGCCCCTGCTGCCCTGCGGGGGGGGGGGGGCTCCGCCCACATCCTGGCTGGCCACTCAGCATCATTTTGGTCCTGGGCCTGCTGTGCCAGGGCCCCCGGCCGCTGCTTCTTCTCCGCAGCCTCCTCAGACATCCCCTCCTTGTCCCTGACTCTTTTGGAACAGCCTCAGCCCCTTGTCCCCAGAGGAGGCTGGCCCTGCCCCTCCTGTGTCCATCTTCCAGCACGTGGCTGACACCATGAGCACGTGCTGTGAGAGGCCAGTGGGAGAGGCTCCGGGGCCAGAAGAGGCCGCTCTGGGGAGGGGCGCTCAGGGCCAGACGCCCCGCCTCCCTGCTCACCTAGGCTTCCCTGGGCCTTAGTTTCCCTCTACGACAGGTGGGTATGGGGACAGGCAGGCCACACACCAGGCCCCGGTGCAGACTACTGCTCACCTGATCGGAGGGTGGGAACTAGGGCCCGGGCTCTGAGGCCCCGTGAGGGTTTTGTTTTGTATTTTTATACCTGGCTTTGGGCAAATAACCTCCCCACTCTGGCCCGGGTTCCCTCCCCTAGAAATTGGGTGTTGTTTCAAGTGGATCAGGAGACCGAGGCCTCTGCCACTCCCTCCCTCTCTCGCCTCCCTCCTGCCCCCGGGCTCGCAGGGCGCAGGAGTGGGCGGGAGACGCCTTTCGGCCCTTCCCCGCTGCTCTGCTTCCCGCGGGACTAGCGGCCGGCCGGACGGACGGGGCGGAGGTGGGGCGGGGCTACCCAAGTTCCCCCCACGCCCAGTCCCCCCGTCTCCCGCCGGAATCCGCCAGCGCCAGCGGAGTCCCGGCCAGGGCCGGGGCCACCCGCCGTCCCAGCCGGCTGACCCGGCAGGCGACCTCCCAGTGCGGCACCGCGGTCGCCTCTCGGGTCCCCACGCCAGAGCCCCCGCCTTCCACCTCCGGTCTCAGCTCCCCCCTCGGGCCGCGCGCCGGCAGACGGGCGCTGTCAGGGATCGCACCCTCGCGGGGCCCCTTTCTCGCAGTGACCCCGGCACCCTATCCCTACTCACCAGCGACGAGGACTTGCTCCGGGAAGAGCACTGCGCGGCGGGAGCGGCGGGAGGTGGCAGCTAGGTCCCCAACCCGATCCGCCCCTGCCGCGAGGCCCCGCCCGGCCCCGCCCGGTTTGGCTGGAAGCCCGGACCTCCGCCCACTGGCTTGCCCTCGGGACAGGGAGGTCACCCCTCTTGAATTGCCACCAGCAATGCGCTTTTGCCTTCCGGGCCAGGAGCCAGTCTTTAGGTCGTTTCTCGTCGCACAGGTCCGCGCCACGGTTCAGGCGGGTAGCTTCTCTTGAGCCTCACTTTTCCCATCTGTGAAATGGGTCAACAGAGACCACCTTGGAGAGGGAAATTGCATCACGTGATGCAAAGCATGAACACCCTCCCACACGGCAGCCTTGCTCCCATCTGGAGGAGCGCCCTCTCTCCTTTGGCAGTTGCCCCAGGGCTGCCGCGGCCTGCGGGCTGGCCCTGGCTCACTGCTCAGTGGTTGGTTCCGCCTCCATCTCCCTGCACCTGGAAGATGGACACAGTGTCGTGGGGCTGATGATGCAGGCAGGGCGCCTTGCAGACACTTGGTGCGCAGTGAATGGAGGCTGCAGTCCTCACAGCGCAGAGGTAGCCTCCCTGGGTCACCCTGATGGGACAGGCATGTCCAGCCCTAGGCCTTGGGCGCCTCCCCTCCCCATCTGCAGGCTGCTCTATCCCTGAAGGTCAGGGCCTGTCCCAGCCACATGGGGCTGACTTGGTCTGCAGGAGCCCCGGCTGCCCCTCTGGTCCCCCCAGGGCCCAGGCGAACACCACCCCCAGGCTCGGCAGCCCTGCGCCTCTGGGGCTGCGGTCTGTCATTCCTAAGCTAAGCCCCAGCGTTTTTGTCTGCGTGGGCCCCTCCCACCTTTGGCTGTATTGGTGTAATGACAAGTATAAGCCAGGCTATATTCCAGCCACCTTTTTCTTCTGATTTTAAAAGAAAGTCAAGTATTTGCCCGGGTTCCTCAAAGTGTGCTGGCCCCAGGCACTGCGTGTCTGTCCCTCTCAAAGGTGGTCGGGCCACGCCTCCCCAGAGCTGCCAGCCCTCAGCCTCTCCCGCACAGAGGTGCCCCTGGCTTGGCTGAGTGCCACAATTTCCTCCCCCAGAAGACCCGTGGGGAGGAGGCAAACTGGCTTCCCTCTGGCCTCACCCCTATGGCATGCAGGGCTCGGGCCCACGGGGCACCCTGGGTGGCAGAGGTTGCTGCCCACAGATACTTGCTGCATACCGGGGCCAAAGGGCAGGGCTGGGCACCCACCCACAAGGCCCCGTCCTCATAAGGTTCACACCCTTTCCCAGGTGAGAGCCTGCAGCTCTGAGGGGGTGGTGCTGCCCGGGGCCACTCAACCTGCAGATCTGGATACAGATCCCCTGCTCACCTCCTGTGACCTCTGCCCCCCTTCTCGCCACCCCATAGACCCCACCTGAGCCAGGACAGCAGTGACTGCCGCTCCTCTGGGCCCCAGCCCAGGCCCCCAGCTGGTCCCTGGCTCCCTTCCAGGCCCTTCCGCTACTCAGAGCCCTCGTGGCTCCCCCTCCCCTAGGGGCAAGTCTAAGCCTTGTCCCTGGCACTCAAGGCCCTGCCAAGCCGAGGTCCAGCTGACCCTCCCACCCCCACCTCTGTGCCTTCACAGGTGCCGTCCCCCCGCCCGGAGCACCATTCCCTCCTCGGGCATCACCAGGTGTCCAAGTCGGACCCCTCTCCAGAGTCACCCAGGAAGCTCTTCCGGAACCTCGCCTCTGTGCAGCCTCCACTCCAGTGGGCTGTGCCCGCTGAGCTCCACAGCGCTGAGCGTGGAAGCCTCTCTAGGACACCTGTCACGTGCCAGCCTCGAGGACATACACTATATGGAGCGCCTGGGGGGCCCAGCCCTGGGCTGAGCCCTGGAGGAGGTGACACAGGCAAACCCAGGCCCCGACTTTAGTCTGTCTGGGGAGGGGGCAGGGCAGACACCTTCTCAGTCCCCACTGAACGGACCCCACCTCCGGTGCTCAGAAAGGTGAGGGGGCAGCCCGCACCTGGCCAGAGACGGTGGGCCTGAGGCTGGGCCCGAGGGAGACTGCAAGGAAGGTCAAACTGGACCGGCCTCAGCCTCCCTGTGCACAGGCGGCCATGGGCAAGGTCGGGGGTGAGGCAGCAAGAAGGGGTCAGAAGCGTGGGTTGCTCTGTGTTCTTGCTTGTGCATTCGCCACACCTGTGTTCAGAACTCAGGTGTCTGCGTGGTCACTCCCGTGAGATGGAGCAAGTGTCTTTGACTGAGCCAGGCGGCAGGTGGGGCAGGGGGGAAGAGGACCTGATCAGCTTGTCATCAAGACTGGCCAAGTTGGACCAGACTCCGGGCTGAGTGGCCCAGGGACTCTGTCCTTAAACTCACACCACAGTAGCAGCCGGCATGGTGGCGACGGTACATCCCTGGAGTCGCTCTGCTCCTGGTGGGACTGCTTGCACACCTGTGCACATGCCATCCTGGGTCCCTGTTCACCACCACCTACCCGGGCAATGCCCTCCACCCCTCTGCTGGCTGGCTCCTCCCTCCCTGGGTGGCACCTCTGTGCCTTTTCGGGTCCCGTGTTTGTGAGGAGCCTGTCCTCCAGGAGTTCTGGAGAGAGATTGCGCAGGAGGCATCGTTTGGAAGCTCTCTGCCATGGCTGGCGGATGCTCGGCTGAGTGAGGGCTCCAGCTAGAGCCGTTTGTTCCTCAGCCTCCTGGAAACACGACCCTCCTGCCCGCAGTGCTGGCGGCTGAGCCCCTCTGTGTGTGGCCTGTTTTGTTCTTCCTGGAAGATTTTGAGGACTTTTCCCCAGAGTCCTGAAAGTTCACACTCCTCAGTGAGGGCCTAGTCCCATTCATCACGCCAGCATTCAATGGCCCTTTCATCCAGGAAACTCGTATTCTTTATCTTCCGAAAATAAAAAAATAAAAAGTTTGCTGATTTCCTTCCTTCCATCTTCTCACTTCTCTTTCTGGAACTGCTGTGACTCAACACTGCTCCTCCTGGGCCCCTGACTTCCCTTTCTCTCCTCCTCACGTTCACCTTTTCTGCTTTATCTTCTGTGACGATTCCTCAACTTCCTCTTCCTGGCCTTCCCTTGAGTTTTTCAATTCTGCTATTTTTCATTTCCAGGGATTATGTCTTGTCTTCTGACTGTTCTTTTTTTTTTTTTAATATAACTTCCTGTTCCCCTTTCGTGGATGCAGCGTCTCTCAACCATCATGACAGTTTACTTTAGTCTCTGAATCTTACGTGGTTTTGTTTTCTGTTTGTAAGAGGACATCCTTGGGTGGTTGCCCATGGTTAGGAAAGCAGGAGGAAAATAAGTCCGCCGGTGACATTTGTTGGCTTAGCTTCACTGTAAGCTGAACTTAGTGGGCCATCTGTCTGGGGACTCCCGGGGCTGTTGATAGCTTAGGGTTTTCTTCTCTGACTGGTCAGATGCCCCAAGGTCCTCCAGTCCTTCGCCTAGAGGACTGGGGCCTGGCCACAGGTTTCCGGGGGCTCAGCAGGAGAGAACACTGGAGGGTGTCTCTGCATTCAGTATCCAGTACCCACGTTCACCGCTGGCCCTGGCGTGCCCAGCCCTTTCCAGAGCTAGCCCAGATGTGTGCCAGAGTGGGGGAAGGCCATCACCCAGTAGCTAGAAAGAGGGAGGGGATCTGAAGAGCTAACTGTTCCTGCTTCAGGAGACACCTTCAGATAGTTCTCTTTACTGTAGCCCTCTTTCCCCCTTAGACCTAGAAGCAGCTGGAGCTACCTAAACTTCAGAGGATCCTGTTGTAAGAATAAGGGTTGGTTCTCAACTCCACCGCTGGGAGGGATGCGGCTGTTTAGGGTCCGCCAGGTCGAGAAATACCGGTCAGTCTACCTGCTTTCCAGCTTCCAGAGGTTCTGTTGCCAGGCCCACTTTCCTGTTCTCCCCGTCCTGGTGGATTTATGTCCTCGAAAGGTCACTCTGCTGCAGATTTATGGGCTTCTGGAAGCAGGGTGTGTTCTATTCATCTCTCAACCGGAAACTCCCTCCATATTTTGTACAGCCAAACCATTGCATAGATTTGCCATAATTCACTGAACTAATCTCTAGCTGGGCATGCAGCTTATTCCCACTGTTTCCCTGTTGAAAGCAAAGCTGCTGTGATGTTCCGAGAGTTAGTTCTCTGCCCGTTTAATTCATTTCCTAGTTCAAGCTCGCCGAGGGTTTGCTGATGCCATTCTACCCCGATCTTTCTCATTATGAGGTGTGTAGTGGGTGGGGTTGGTCTGCATCTCCTGGGCTCCTTCCAAGAGGCGGAAAGGAAATGAGAGAGAAGCAGAGGGGGTGTGGGTAGAGGCGAGGTCCAGAGTTAGACTCTCCCTGACCCAGCCTCACACAGCTGCTCAGAAGTCGGATAACCCCAATTTCCACTCCCTTCTGTCACAAAACACCTGCCACTCAATCTTAGAGCCTTCCTCAACTCACCCGTAAATTGAGGATAATAATAGTACCAATGCATCATAGTGTTGCTGTGAGAAAGTCCATAAACTAGTATCAGAAAAATATCCAGAGCTTTGTTCCCAAGGGAAAAAAATATTTATTGGATGTTTATTATGTGCTGTACACCGTGCCTGGTTTGCAGAAAACATTAGGAAAGAGAGCTGTTACCTTGCTTACGGCCCAGCACAGCTGGCAGGATCAAGTAAGTATTGAGTCAAAGAGTGTAGAAGCGTTTCAAACACTTGACGCGGGCTGGGTAGAAAGAGTGAATGTTGCATTGCCTTGTTTAGTCAGTAAATATTATTGAGGGCTTATTGTGGTGCGCTGTCGTGTTTCAGTCTTCCCCGTGGTGAAGTAAGCGCATGGGTCCCTCTGGACACGCTGCACGCGGCAGTGAAAAGTCTCGGAACTGCGACGGAACCAGTTACCGCGGAACCTTTCTTCTCGTCCCCGGTGCCTCGGCCCGCCCGGAAGGAAATACAGCATGGACCGCGCCACGCAGCCGCAGTCGGATCTCGGTCGCCCCGGTAATTCGCGTGGGGCCAGTACCACACCATGAGCGTCCGGCTCGCGCGAGCTGTGAGGTCCTGGGATTGGGCCGCGGGCTGCTGCCGAGGCGCCTCGGACTACCGGCTGCCTCCGCCGGGTGCCGTGGACGTGGCGGAGCTGCTGCGAGATGCGACAACAGCGGAGGAGGGGCCCTGGGAGGCGGCGGCGCGGCGGCCGCCCGGCCAGTGTTCGGTGCTGCTCTTCCCGGGCCAGGGCAGCCAGGTGGTGGGCATGGGCCGTGGTCTGCTCCACTACCCGCGCGTCCGCGAGCTCTACGCTGCTGCCCGCCGCGTGCTGGGCTACGACCTCCTGGAGCTGAGCCTCCACGGGCCACAGGAGGCCCTGGACCGCACCGCGCACTGCCAGCCCGCGATCTTCGTGGCCTCGCTGGCCGCCGTGGAGAAACTGCATCACCTGCAGCCCGCGGTGAGGCCCGAGCTCTCACAGCCAGGCCGGAGTGGCCCCACTTAGGACACACTAGGCTGATTCGGAGTTCCCAGTCGGCTCCAGGCGCTGTTTGGGCCCTGGAAATACAGCTGTAAACAAAAACAAGGATCCCTGCCCTCAGAGGGCTTGCGTGTGAGAGGAGGGAGACATAAAGAAGACCAGCTGCACTACGTAAATTGCATATGTTAAAGATGATAAGTGTTGTATTGTAGAAAGAAAAATAGACCAGGGGAAGGGGCTGAGGAGTCAAGGGCCAGGTTGCGATTTTAATGATCCTTAATAATTTCAGTAATTAGTAAATGATTTTGGAAGGATTGAGTATCATCCTTAGTAATGATCATTGAAGAAATTATCTGAGAATGTCACTTCACTTGAAGGTGTGAATTGATTGCAATTATTTAATATCAAGACAGTAAATGTTAGCTAGTGCTTTAAACTCTGTACTCCATCCCCACAACAGCCTTGGGAGATGAATGCTGTTATTTTGTGGATGAGAAAAGGAGACCCAGAAATGCTAAAGGAATTAGTTGAGTGGTGATAAACTTCACTGTGTGCTTACCCTGGGCCAGGTCTACGTTAAGTGCTTTCTTGAAAAACATCTTCATGTAATTCTTTCAGTGGCCCTGTGACCAAGGCCCTGCTCCTTCCTCATTTCCCAGATGAGATGACTGGCTTGAAGAAGTTAGGGAGAAATCCCAAGCTAAGAATCAAATCCAACTCTCTGAGACTCTGAAAGTCATGCTGTTCTTTGAACTTCTATGCCTAGAGCCCTCCCACTCTGTCCAGCTGCCTCTGGCCTGGGAGGCAGCTCCAGGGCAGAGGCAGGGGACCCAGGGCCCTGGGCTGGAGTCACAGCTGTACCTTGGAGGCAGCCAGCAGGCTTTCACTTGCCAGGGAAGGTCCTCATTGGGGAAGGGGCTGTAACAGCAACCGTCAAGGCCACTCCTGCATGTCGTCTTCTGGCTGGAGCACCAGGCCAGCTCACCCCGGCTCACTGGGCCACCGCCAGCTCTCAGTCCAGGCTCCGAGAGCGGGGCCTCACGTTCTGCATCTGTCACCGCAGGTCATTGAGAACTGTGTTGCTGCTGCTGGGTTCAGTGTGGGAGAATTCGCAGCCCTGGTGTTTGCCGGAGCCATGGATTTTTCTGAAGGTACACAGAAGGGTTTGGTGTTGCACAGGGGTGTCATCTCACCGGGCTCACTAGGCATAGGGAACACCGTGAAAAATAGTTCCGGACCCACTCGGGTGACAGAGAAGGAGTATATATATGGATGGGGATGACATAGGAACCAGAGGGCCAGACTTCACCTCGATTCTCTTTTAGGCACAAAGGGTTCATCAGGGATGTCCTTTCTTTCTGTAATCTCATGAAATCTGTCTGCCAGGCTGTCTTTCCCACTGTCCCATGCATTCTTGGTCTGCTCACGCACCTTTGGTGCCTGTCACGTGGTGGGAGCTCCATAAATATTCATTAAATCGAAAAGAAAATGAGTGTTTGACAGTGATCTATATCAGTTTCACATAAGACTTTTGCGTGTAGTTGAAAGTTAAACATTTTTGCTTATAGTTCAGCCTGGGCACCTTGCTCGGAGCACGCTGAGTGCAGACAGGACCTTGAGCAAGGGGCTGCAGCAAAGGACTTGAATAGACATTTCTCTAAGGAAGATACACAGGTGGCCGGTGAGCACGTGAAAAGATGTGCAGCATCACCAGTCACGAGGGGACTGCAAATCAAAACCACAGTTAGATACCACGTCACACCCAGTAGGACGGCTTTAATTTAGAACAACAAGGAAAATAGCGAGTGGTGGCAAGGATGTAGAAAAACAGGAACATTACTGGAAGAATGCGAAATGGTGCAGCCACTGTAGAAAGTGTGCTGGGTCTGCAAAAACCAAGGTAGAATTACCACACGAGCCAGGAGCTGTGCTCAGAGGTCTGTACTTAGGACAAAACGTATGTCCACACAGAAAGACTTGCCACGAATGTTTGTAACAGCCAGAAGGTGGAAACAGTGCCCACGGCTGTCTCCAGGTGAACAGACGAGCTGATTGTGCAACTATATGGGGGAGTATCATTCAGGGGTGAGCCGCAGAAAGATGCCGTGGTGCCAGGCACGGACGTCACATACGGTGTGATCCCTTTTGCGTGAAATGCCTGGGACACGCAAATCCATAGACATACAGATGATTGGTTACTGAGGGAGGGGAGGAGGGACGGGGAGTGGTTCCACTTGGTGGTGGGCGGTGTTTTATGAAATGCTGGAAAGTTCTGAAATTAGAGCTGGTGACTACACAACATTATGAATTCAACAACTGCCACTATCGTACACCTGACACTGGTTATACATATATATATCTACTTTAAAGATCTTATTTTATTTTTAGAGAGAGGGGGAGGGAGGGAGAACGAGAGGGAGAGAGACATCGATCAGTCACCTCTCCTACGTGCCCTGACCTGGAATAGAACTGGCGACCTTTCACTTTGCGGGAGGATGCCCAGCACACTGAGCCACACCAGTCAGGGCAGGTGCTGGTTGTACTTAATGTGAATTTTACTTCCATGGTTTTTAATATAGCACTATTAATATAGCACTGTTAAGGAAATGAAAAAGTTTCATATTTCCACATGCTAATAAAACTTTTATGCATAGTTTTATGTGTGAGTTGCAGAATTACAGCACGTGTACACTTCGTGTTCAGTATCTTCACTTGATGTTTTGCGTGGTTACTTCCTGGACGCCTGCCTGGGAGGGTTTCCGCGTGTTCTCTCCGAGTGCCCGTGTGGTCTGTTCTACGCACAGGTGTGTGCCGAACAGTAAGGGGGCTGAGAGTTCAGTGCCGATGTGTATCAGTGCGGAGTGAACGAAGGCGTGTCAGACAGGTGCAGGATTTGCCCCTCAGGCTCAGGAGTGGTCCCCTGACCCTCCTTGGGCTCGTCCTCTCCCTCATCGCCAGGGAGCAGCCCCAGGGTGGAGGGTGGAGGTCCAGTAGTTCCAGGCCACTCTTCCGTCTTGATCCTGTTGGCTGCCGGCCTGGCTCCGGCCCTGTCCTCTCACCTTGGGCTGGAGCCGCACTGAACTGGGAGTCCTATTTCCTCGTTGGCCTGGGGAGTGCAGGGTCTCCAGCTCCAAGTGAGGGCAGTGAGGCTTGGTCTGTAACAACGGTGTAACAAATTTGTGTGATTGTACATCATTCCAGATACCTGATGGCTCTTGTTTCTCCCCTTCCACGTGATTTCTCTTCAATAGTAAACTCATTAATGATGCTTCCCACTTTCACAACTGTCCAGGCACATTATTTATTTACTATTATCCTCTTTTACTAAATAAAATTTGACCTGGAAGGAGATCATGAACTGCCCAAGCAATATAGCCCAAAAGTCTGTTCCTTTCACCTACCCCAGGGTTTCTCAACAGCGGCACTGCTGATACTTTGGACCAGATAATTCTTTGGGTTTACTCTGCATGTTGAGGGGCATCCCTGGCCTCTACGCACCAGCTGTTAGTAGCACCCCCTCCCCCTCCAGTTGTGACCATCAAAGATGTCTCCAGACACTGCCCTGGGGGCAGAAGCACCTACACCTGGTCAGATCCAACACCGAGCCAGCTCTAAGGCCGGGGCCTGGGGTTGATATGTGCAGAGCTGCGGGCAGCAGCCTGCCCTGATCACGCGGTGTGGCTCCATGTGATGGAAGCAGATGCACAGAACGAGGCCCTGCAGCCTGGTGGTTGTGCCAGTATCAGGGTCTCGGCTCACAGCATGGGGCCTGCGCTTTGTCCTGCAGGCCTGGGCTTCCCCCCCTTTGTCATGTGCCCTGATTTTTCCAAATGCACTTCTCTCCGGATAGGTTTGTATGCAGTGAAAATCCGAGCCGAGGCTATGCAGGAAGCCTCTGAAGCTGTCCCCAGTGGGATGCTGTCCGTCCTCGGCCGGCCTCAGTCCAAGTTCACCTTCGCCTGTCTGGAAGCCCGGGAGCACTGCAAGACTCTGGGGATAGAGAACCCCGTGTGCGAGGTGGCCAACTACCTCTTCCCGGATTGCAGGGTGATCTCCGGACACCTGGAGGTTGGTGTCGGCGGGAACATCCTTCACAGGCCCTAGGCCCACACAGCAAGCCGGAACCTTCCAGCGTGCTGGGCGCTCTGCCGGGCCCAGGCCTCTGGGAAGCGCGCGAGGGCCCCAGAGTGCAGGGCAGTGGGCACCGCAGAGGGAGACCAAAGGCTGGGACCCCACCCCCACTTCACCACCCACGGACCGGGACAGCCTCTGGCAAATTGTCCAGCCCATCCGAAAGGTAAAGCCTGGGCCAGGTGGTCTCCAGGGCCTTCCTGCAGAACATTCTGGGCTTTCATAGCCCCTAACACGGTTGCTTCCTTACAGAGAGCCATTTCCTTCAGGGCTGCCCCACCCTGCCCTGCTGGTCCTGAGATGCCCGTTTGCCCTGAGTTCACTTCCTTTCCTTCCGGTATCTCCTCCACTCACTGCGCCCGCAGACGCCACTTCTGGAGCAGCTCCCCTGTGATGGGCGCTGGGGCACACGTGACCGATCAGCCAGCGTTCCTGCGGTCAGAGGCAGGCGGCGGTGAACCGAGGAACCCGGGTTTTGGGGGCCAGTAAGGGTGGAGCCGTCTACCGGTGGGCCGGCCTGCGGAGGTGGCGCCAAAGGGCAGGGGGTGGGGCTGGGGGCGGGGCCGGCGAGAACGGCAGGCTGTTCCTGGTCCGGGCAGGCTGAGTGCACATGGGGGCTGCTGTCACTGGGCCAGCGCTCTCCTGCCTCACCCGGCCCTCTCGGCCAGTCCTGAGCTCTGAGGAGGGGAGTCTGCGTCCCACTTTACACGTGTGGAAGCGGAGGCGAGGGAGGGGTGGGTGGGTGCTAGGAGGCAGAACTGGGACTGAAGGCGGTCTCATTCTGGAGTCTGCCGCCTCCACTTCGACGATGCTCAGTTCACCTTCCTCTTTAAGGCCGTGCCAGCGCTCCAGGTGTCCTCGTGCATCTCCCCTGCATCAGTGGGGGCCAGCAGGTCCCTCTTGTGAGCGTTCCAAGATGCCGAGGTCAGATACTGTAGCCCCAGATAATCACGACGCTGGTTGCTCCTTCCCATTAACAGCCTTGGAGTGAAGCCCGGAAGTGGGCTGGGAGGGCCTCCGGCCTCCTGCCTCCCAGAGTCAGTCCCAGGCGTGGCCTCTCGGTGCTGTTGGAAGTGCAACAGCAGAGTTCAGGGGAGGGCCAGGGTCCTTTTTAACTGGAATTTAAAAAGACTCCGCTGCCTCTGCCAGACCAGGGCCGGAGCAGAGGGCCACCACACAGGAGCCTGCTGGCACCCCCAGGCAGTGACTGTAACAGGGGCCTGAGGCTAGTGGTTCCAGGACCCCGGGGAAAGCGCACAACGCCTCAGGGAGTGAAGGCGGAGGAAGCTGTCAGCGCAGGTGCTGGGCATGACCAGACAATTCTGCCTCAACGGGCCAGGCTTGGAGCCCAAGAGGGGCTGTTCAGAGGCCCCTGGGGTGTGTCCCTCAGTGCAGTGGGGATGGATGGAGGGCAGTCGTGAGTGTGAAGCACCGAATCAGCCCCCGCAGTCTAGATTCTGCTGCAGTCACAGGGCCCTGACCCCTCGGTGGTCCCCATGGGCGAGCATCCCTCAAGCAAGGGCCCTGTTGCAGGTGAGGTTTGTGGTGCTGGGCGCTCTTCCCCCAGGGCTGGCAAGGACCGGGCAGAGTCTGCATGGGGCAAACTCACAGCGTAGGAGAGTCTCCGGTGGGGCCCGGGGTGATGGCCATGCCTGGTGGGCGGGTACACCCTGTGGGGAGGGCCCAGGCGTGCTGTGCCCTACAAACAGTAATCCCTCTTCTCCAAAGGGGACACACATTAGTGACCCTGTGACAGCTTTTTCCAGGGGACATGGATGGGCTTGGTAACTGCTGACCCTAACACAGCACACATACATCAAGTAGTTCTCCTTACAGGAGCCTGTAGCTAACAGCCATCCCCATTTCACAGAGGGGGGGACTGAGGCTCAAGAGTTACAGGAAAATTGCCCAAGGCCACGCAGCTGCTGGGGCCTCAGTAAGGTTTATGTTTGCCTCCTGGCGCAGCCGGCCCAGCCTCCCAGCAGCCCTGGCCTGCCCTGAGCGCAGAAGGTTCCAAGGGTATCTACTACTCTAAAGATATTTGCAAACTACGTTGTTTGCAAACACTCCCTGGTAGCCCGGGAGGTCAGGGGAGGCTGGGCTTCAGGAGGAGAAAGCCCGTTTCTTCCCTAGAGAAACCCCAGGTGAGGGGGTTCTGGTGGGGAGGAGTTGGTGTCCCCTGCACTTTTATGTTGAGAGTTACAAAGTCACATGGAAACAGGTGTGTCACGGAGCGTGAGGGGGAAAACAGGCGCCTACGTGGTCGTGCCGTTTATGTTCACCAGACGCCGTCACAAACCTACCGGATCACTTCCCAGCAACCTTGGGAGTGGCCGACTTTTATGGGTGGGAAAAAAAAGTCCAGAGGTCAGGGGCTTTGCCTGGGGCCACAGAGGTAGTGAGTGACCATGTTGGGACGGGACCCAAGTCCCAGGTTTTCAGCCTCAGATCTCTCCTGGTCGCCCTGTGGTCCCCTGCCTGTGGACCGTGTGAATGGCCAGGTTCCTGGGACACTGACAACAGCTGTGACTTTAACTGGGACGCAGAGGAGAGCCAGGAGGCTTTGCAGGGTGCGAGGTGTGGGAGGAGGGTCTGCACACGGGACCACCTCTCTGCAAATTCCCAGGAGGTGTCCCCCGCCTAACCCGCCTCTCCACCTTCCAGGCTCTGCAGTTCCTGCAGAAGAATTCCTCCAAGTACCACTTCAGACGCACCAAGATGCTGCCGGTCAGTGGCGCGTTCCACACCCGCCTCATGGAGCCGGCCCTGGAGCCGCTGGCGCAGGTGTTGGAGGCCGTGGACATCAGGAAGCCCCTGGTGTCTGTGCACGCCAACGTGGATGGGAATCGGTACATGCACCCAAGACACATCCAGAAGCTGCTGGTCCAGCAGGTGGTCTCGCCAGTGAAGTGGGAGCAGACGATGCACACCCTGTACGAGAGGAAAAAGGGCACGGAGTTCCCCAAGACTTTTGAGGTGGGGCCTGGGAAGCAGCTGGGAGCCATCCTGAAGAACTGTAACCTGCAGGCCTGGAAGTCGTACAGCAACGTGGAGGTGCTGGCGGCGGACGAGGCCCCCGAGTCTGACCAGGACTCCTAGGGTCTCCAGATGAGCAGGGGGCAGGACGGGGGGCTGCAGGCCCGGGCTGTCACCCCCCCCCCCCCCCCCGTAGGCTGGTCCTGCCCTTCCTTCCATCCAGCCTCCCCCCTGCGTGACCGACCAGGACTGTTTGCAAAGAGCTTTGAACACCGCATGAAGTACTAGAAGTATTTCTTTATAACAAGACAGTTTGTTTCTCTCTGTTTTTAACGATTTTATTTTTACAGAGGAGGAAGGGAGAAAAACACCCATCGGTTGCCTCTGGTTGCCTCCCGTACATCCCCACTGGGGACCGAAACCCATCAAACTGGCGACCTTTGGGGGAAGACGCCCAACCAGCCGAGCCACATGGGTCACGGTGCTGTTTCTCCTCCTTGAAACGTGGTTTGATGCTGGGGGAAAAAGCAACAGTGCCCGGTATATGAAGAGACTGCTGAGTTCTCGAACTGCCACCCGGGCAGGCCCGTCACCTCGGCTCAGGCGGCGGCTCTGACGTGGGCTGAGCCGGCCTGGCCTGCAGGAGCGCCCCAAGGACTAGAAAGGCTGGCCTGTCACTGTGTGTGACAGGTGCTGTGGGCACCCTGGCATGTCCACCAGGTAGGCCAGTGACACAGGGCGGTGCTCCAACTGTCCCTGTAGCCACCCACAGCCAGAATCTTTCACTCCTCTGTCACCGAATCGAAAGGGATTAAGACGCAGCCGGCCTCGGCAGCCCTTACACCCAAGCCCAAGGGGTAGTGTTGAGGGGTCCGCTGTGTGCCAGAGAGTGGGCAGCCTCCGCCCTGGGGGGAAGGGGGGCCTTTAGCAAAGTGGAGGGGTGCAGGGAGGGCCACCAAGGGCCCGCTTCCTCCCTGCTCCCAAGTCACCCCTGCAGTGAATACTCACTGCCCGCCAGGTGCCCGTGGCACAGGGCTTGCTCTCGGCCCAGTCCACACGGGGACAAGCACGGGCGCCGTGCAGGTGCAGCTCCTTGGCTTCATCGGTGTGAAAGCTGAGTAATTCCGTGCTTCTTGGGTGGTCTTTTTGTTATTCAGCACCAGCAGGCAAACCTCACTGGGAACAAAACCTCTGCATTTGCCTTTAAATACACTGTCATGCCCTGGCTGGTGTGGCCCAGTGGATCAAGTGCCGGCCTGCGAACCAAAGGGTTGCCAGTTCAATTACCAGTCAGGGCACATGCCTGGGGTGTGGGCCAGGTCCCCAGTTAGGAGCACATGAGAGGCAACCGATCGATCTATCTCTTGCACGTTTATGTTTCTCTGCCTGCTTTCTCTAAAAATTGCCTGGCTTTCTCTAAAAATAAGTAAAAGCTTATATATATATATATATATATATATATATATATATATATATACATACATACACACACATATATAGAGAGAGAGTCAACGTGGACTCACATGTAAGTGCACAGGCCTCTCAGCAGGGGCCCTGCTGGCCTCCGGGCAGAACTGGCCTCCCCTGGGGGGGTCCCTGCACATGGGCAGCCGTCCTGGCCCCTGGCCAGCGCACACTGGAGGGTGGCACTTACTAAAACTTGGTTGTAGAAATTCCCACATGTTCAAAAAGGACTTGGCCGTGCAAATCCCCTCGGCCAAGTGCTCTGAGCGGGGGCTGCGCTGCAGGCAGGGTGGTGTCTCCCGTCCCAAGAATGTCCCAAGAGGGAGCTGGCGTGGCAGGCCTGCCCCCACGGATCTGGGACAGTGCACTCAGTCCACGCAGCTCAGAGCCACAGGAGGAATGGCCAGCAAAGGGCAGTGGTGCAGAAGGGACCCCACCCCAAATGCTGACAGGTAGGGTCGCCTCCAGTACAGAGCCCTGGGCTGGGGTGGGGGGCCCTGCTCCGACTCCAGAGGAGAGGCAGAGAGGGCACAGGGTGCTCGGCGGGGCCTACATCCTGTCCTCTTGGGGAAATGCCCTCTCACACCGTCCTTGCGGCCACTTCATCTTGGGGCCCAGGTCAGTGGAGAACCCAGCCCCCAGGAACGGGGTGCACGCTCCCTGCCCAGCGGGAACAGGTCCCCCAGCACCTTCTGTAGAAGCCTTCATCCTGCCTTGTCTCCAGGAATCTGGACCAGACCAGGGGCCTCGTTCAAAAGTTACTGAAACAGAAAAAGATGGTGGGCCCCCCCCTGCCCCCAGAGCCTTGTCACCTGCTCTGGGAAAGTGCTTCGCTGCCCTCAGCAGCCCCTGCCGCAGCACCCAAGGCCTGTGCAGGACTCTGTGAGAGGGGAGGGGGGAGCACTGTGTAGTGATCATTCAGGAATTGGGAGGCTACTAGATGACCCAGGTCACACCTGCCACCTTCCTGACAGGGACAGGCCTCTGGTCCTTCCTTTTGGGGGTTGAAGAGTGATTTCTCTATGGACTCGGATTGAAGCTGCTTTTAGCCCCTAAGAGCAGAGCACTGCTCTGCAACACGTGGAAACCCAGCCCCGCCCCAGGCGCCGCCCGGCAGGAGCACGCCCAAAGGAAAGGATCCCTGGCCGCAGGTGTCAGGCACCAGGGCATGACGGGCGGGCGAGAGCAGGTGCAGGAATGAGCCCCGAGGCTGTGACAGGCAGGAGGCTGGCCCGCCTCCTTCCCGCCCCTCTGCCACCACTCCTTCAGAAGGGCGAGATGGAGCCCACACTGAGCACCCCCAGAGAGGACCAGAGACGGACAGAAACCAACAGTTTATTGCGCTTTCCTCACCCTCAGAAATCTACTCCAGGAGATTCTCTGTATTGGGCCTTACAGACATGGGGGCGTGGCCAGCACTCCCCCCCCCCATCTCCCGCTAAAGGCCCCGCCCATGAAAGGCAAGCTCCTTCCCCGGACCGCCATGGTGGAGCGGGCTGGGACCTGGGTAGCAGGTAACCATAAAGACCCATGAGGGTGTAATTCATTTCTCTTACCAAAAAAACCCCCCAAAACCCCAAAACACAAGTATGAAACCTCAGGAGTGACCCAGCACTCAGAATTTAAATATAAAAAAGGGGTCATAAGAAAGTTAAAAAGACAACAACACCAACAAGGCCACCTCCAGGGTGGTAGTCGAGGGGCGGGGCCAGCCCCGCCCCGGCGCCGCCCGCAGCGCCTCACTGGAGGACCTGGACGCCCCAGTCGAGCAGCAGCGCCAGCAGCAGCAGCAGGGACAGCTTGCGCCCGAGGCTGGGAGACACCTGTCGGTGGAGGTGGAGAGAGGTGAGGACCGGAAGGGGCCGGCTCATCGCGCCTCCTGTGCCCGCCCCGTGCGGTGAGTGGGAGGGGTGCAGCTGCACCTCACGCACAGACCTGGAGGGGCTGGAGCCCAGGGTCCAGGAGGGGTGGGAGAGGAAAGTGCCCAAGGACAGGAAGGAGGGGTGGCCAGGACGCGGGGGCATCATCTGCTGGGGACTGGGAGGATGGGATGAGGTTGTGGGAGCAATGGGGCGTGGCCAGGAGAGCTGCTCAGGACTAGAGGCACCCAGGCAGGTGAATGAGGAACCAGACTTGTCTGCCAGGGGAAGGCAGGCCTGGCAGAGGGCCAAGCGTGGGCACAGGTGGGGAGAAGGCAAGGCACACGAGGACCCACGCACGGTCAATAAGCCCAACCTGCAGGCCACAAGGACCAGGCAGAAGAAATGGGTGGAGCAGGCTAGACCAGCAAAAGGGAGCGGCGGGGACTTCGGCGACTGGAGAGGGTGCAATTCGCCGAGCAGCTGCGGACTGGCGAGGCTTACCCTGTCCCTGAGGGTCAGGAAGCTCCAGAACCTTCTGTTTCCTCTGAGGTTGGTGAAGCCACCCAGGAAACTTCTCAGAACGCCCCTCAGGCCCGTCTGGGTGTAGGTGAAAGCCAAGCTGTAAGACAAAACGGGACCGGGAGCGGCCATTACTACTCGAACTGGGCAGAGACGGCCTTCATTTTAGGTGACGGCTGTGGGGAGAAGCGGGCCCGTGCCCCCTCTCCCCTGCTGCCCTCACCCCTTTCCTGGGTGGCTCCGCAATGAGGGCCCCTCTCCATGGGCCTAAAGCTCATCTGATTTCCCGTCTACTCCCCCACGTGCCCCTGCGCTACGGAGCCGGCCACGTGTCCACAGGCCCAGAGAGGCAGGTCCAGGGGAGCAGGTCTTTGCTCCAGAGCAGCTGTTTGGATGGAGGCCGACTCCCCAAAAGAAGTTTGCCTCCCTGGAGACCAAGAGACTGTGTCACCTTTGGTCCTGGCCTCATGGGAGGTTTCTCTGTCCCCACCTTAAGCAACTCTGTGAGGTCTGAGAAACCACAGGGGTCCTGGCAAATCCTGGGCGCTGAGTGTGTCTCAGCGGGTCCCGGGAGGACACGTGGCGGGAACTCACTCAACACGCCCTGTCACTTTACATCCAGACCCTTTGGCTTGATGAGGGAGATCAGGGGAGGGGGCTTGGGTCCTGCTGTCTGTGGCCAACGCAGGAAGAACATGGAGCGGCAGGCCAGCTCCTGGGGCAGGTGACGCAGGTGGGGGCTGGTCACCTGTACACGGCCATCCAGGGCATCTGGGCGACGCGGGGCGGCATCCATCTCACCTCCAACTCGTCCCCGATAAAGGCCAGCCGCATGGCCATCTCATGAGGGATGTCACTGTGAGGAGGGTGCAGGGAATTAGGGATGGGCTGGGCCAGTGACCCTCCCACCCAGACCCCCCCCAGCCAATTGGGGCACAGGTTCACGGGCACAGGGCAGGGTGAGGGGCAGGGGCCCATCCCATGGTGCTCCTCCGGCTCCCACTCGCTGCAGGGCAGTCTCCAGGGCCCGTGCACAGGCGGGGGCTTCTGGGTTTGGTCCGAGCCCTCAGCCGAGGGCCTGGGCAGGCGGGGGCTATGAGGCTGGCTTTCCCCAAGAGTCTCGACTTACCCTCCTCCTCGCAGGGAGGAGCTTGGGGACCTGTTCCCTGGTCCCCAATTCTAAAACCACCTGTGTCATCACCCCTCTGAGAAAGGAGGGGCTCATCAGCTCCCATCGGGGCCCCCCACTCTCACTGAACTGAGTCCCTCATGGAAATGGAGGCACACACACCCCCGCCCCCAACTCTGACATTCTCCCCTCCCCGCTCTGGGCGCCCGGGCAGGTTTCGGCCCAGCCTCAGGTGTTCGGCTGCACATTCCATCCTGGTGACTAGGCGGCTGCCTGGGAATCCCCGGCCTGCACAGCCCCAGCCAACCTCCCCCGTCTCCGGGGCCCATTCGCTCTCTACTCGGGGAGCAATGGGGGGCGGGCTGGGAGCTGCCAGTCAGGGAGGTGGGCTGAGGTCCCACCTGTGTGCCGATACCCCGTGGGACCTCAGGAAAACAGTGTCCCAGGCTGAACGTCCCCTGTTGTCATCTACAAATGGCACAGGGTGGAGGAAAAAGGCGTGTTTTGGGTCCCTCCAGCCCTAACATCCCAACCAGCCCCTATCCCCAAGTCTGCAGTGTCACAGTTAAGAATCCTCAGGCCTAAAGCAGTGGGGCACACCCCCAAACCGGAAGCCATCCTGGGAGCATCCCCTCTCCACTGCCCTGACAGCCGGGCCGGGGGCTGTGTCTCCAGGGGCCTCAGCGACTTGGACCCACCCTTATGAGGCCTGGACCAGGCAGTTGTGGTCATGGGGGCCAGGAGGCACTCCATCCTAAGGCCACCAGCCTGAGCCGTTTCACCAGCAGGTGCCCAAGGTCCTTCCTGGGACGGTGGACATGCTGGAGGCTCCCAGGCACCCTCGGTGGGCTGGTGTGACAGCAAAGCCTCCCCCCCTGCCCCCACGACCATGCCTCTGGAGAGCGGTGGGGAACCCAGAAGGCCTACTCTCCTTACCACGCCCCCCGATGGCCACGTGCAGGAATGGGGGTGGGCGGGCCCACAGAGGGGCTGCTGGGACCTACCCAAGGGGCTCCGGGCTGAAGTGGAGGAGACTGGTCGTGTCGGGAACCCCCACAGTCTGCAGGCCGTGCTCCTGGAGGAAGGTGCACAAAATGAGGTTCCTGGAGAGGGGTCCCACTTGTGACATTTCTTCCCTGGGGGAGAGAGACACACGCAGGCTGACGCCCAGAACTGTGTGACACAGGGTTTCGCTGAGCCACCCCACCCCTACCCTAGCCCACTCTTCCTCTGCTAGAACCTCCGTCAGCCCACCCTACCCAGCCGCCGGGCCTGGATCCTGCTGTTCATGTGCCTCTGGGCAGGTCTCCGTGCCTCTCTGTTCTCCCAAACACATTTCCCAAGTCGGGGATCTGGGGAGGATTCGTAAGGGCTCTTGTCTTTTCTCTTTGTGAAACAGTCAGAGTATAAACCTAAGAAAGGCTCTAATACTGGCCCCTCAAGAGGCCAGTTAGCACTCTTAAGAAATCCCAGTATGGAAAAAAAAAAAAAAAAAAAGTTAATAAAAAACCCAGGTATCTATGATCAAAACAGTGGCGGAAGGCCGGGCTCCACCTGAAGAGCGTTCCTCCACGCTGCCTGCTTTCGCCGTCCGCTGCTTCCCCGGGCGGAGGAGGCCGGTAAGTTCCACGAGGACAGGCCATGCCCAGTCCCAGGTCGCAGCAGGACCCTGCCAGGTACTCTCCAGGCTTGCTTCTAAGCAGATAACGCACATCGCACACCCCGTGTCGGTGACGAGATCGCTCCCAACAGTGTGTTCTAACCTCCTTCCGCACTGTCGGGGCAAGTCTACCCTCCCTCCGCCTGCTCAGAGGACTAATTTTCTTCTATTGGCCCTGAATCCCTGTGCACCTGAGCCGACCATGACACCCCTGCTCCTCACTTGCCCAGCATGCCTTGCGGCTAGCGGTGGGCACGCCACCCAGTCCTGGTCAGTGATGTCTCGGAAGTCCAGTGTGGGGCTCAAAGGGAGCAGACACAGCCTGGGCAGCTCTTCTCTCTCCTTGCTGCCCTCAGTAGAGTGAAGGATGGAGCTGCAGCAGCTGTTTATGGCACTGAGGCGTTGAGAACAAGAGTAACTAACGTTCCAGGAACGTGGAACAGTAGGGCGGAGTGTTGGCTCTCTGAGGGCAGTGTGGGGATAGAAAGAATACAAGCCATCGACTGCCCAACGCGTGGGAAAAAGAAAACCCAAGTTGTTCAAATCGCCCTTCACTGACCGCTCTTCCTTGCAGCCAAAGGTCTGCCTAACTATTATAGCTGTGAATTCTGCCCTGGCGGGTGTGGCTCAGTGGGTTGAGTGCTGGCCTGCGAACTGAAAGGCCGCCAGTTCGATTCCCAGTCAGGGCACATGCCTGGGTTGCTGGCCAGGTCCCCAGTAGGGGGTGTGTGAGAGACGACCACACTGATGTCTCTCTCCCTGTCTTCCTCCCTTTCCCGTCTAAAAATAAACAAAATCTTAAAAAAACCACAATGGCTGGGTGAGACCCTCTGACCCGTGTGACCGGAGTTTACCACAGGCACTATACCGGACAGACTTAGGCCCAGAATAGGGTGACGAAGAGTTTCTGGAACCCAGGCGCCTGAGTTCGAATCCCAGCTCTGCCGCTGGGCTGTGGGGCACCGCCGTCTTCCCACCCGTGAAGTCCCGGAAGCCCCTCGTTTGGTTGTCGGGGTGGGGGAGGGGAAGGACCTCCTGCCAGGGCTTCAGCGAAGCCCTCCAGCCTGAGGAACACACACCAGCCATTAGGGCCTGTGTTTCCTTATCATTTTCTCACAATGACATCCTGGTTTGGTTTTGTTTAATTTTTAAAAATCCTCACCTAAGGCCCTGGCTGGTGTGGCTCTGTGGATTGAGCCCTGGCCTGCAAACCAAAAGGAAGCAAGTTCAATTCCAAGTCGGGGCACGTGCCTGGGTTGAGGGCTGATATTTCTCCCCTACTCTCCCTCCCTCCCTCCCACTCTCTCTAAAAATAAATAAAATGTAAAAATAAAAAACAAAAAAGAAAGAGAAAAACCCCACCTAAGGATATTTTTTTCACTGCTTATAGAGAGAGAAGGAGGAAGAAAGAGAAACAGCAATTGGTCTGTTGTACGACGCGTCCCGACCAGGGATCAGACGTGCAGCCTGGGTATGTGCCCCGACCAGGAACCGAACCGGGGACCCTTCGGTTACGGGATGATGCTCCAACCCACTGCGCCACACCGGCCAGGGATATGCTGGGCTTTTAAAATGTCTAAGTCCACACATGTGCCTGCGCTGAACACAGAAGGAACAGAACCCCACGTCTCCTGCTCCTGAAGCGCAGGACCTGCGGGCAGGCAGCGCACCGGCACCGAGGTTTGACGAGAGCACGCTGGCCACTCGCTTCAGCACAACCTGGACTGCGGAGAAGGCGGAGGCAGGGCCAGGCTCCCAGCGACAACAGAGGGGAGCTGCGGATCCGCCAAGCATCTCCCGCAGAAGTTGACAGGTGGCTCTCAACAACGCACCCCAAACGCCTGCAAAGAGGCGGATGAGTCGTGACGTCATCAAAGGCACAGACAGGTGTGAGGGGTCTGGGGCGCTCTGGCCTTTCAGAAGGAAACCGCACAAGGGCTGCATTGTTCTGGGGGGAGTACGTGGCCGGCCCGAGTGTCCAGGAGAGACGGCGGTTTGACTTTCCTAAGAGTCGCGCATCTGTTCCGGATGAAGGCCCGGCGGGAAGGCGGCGGGGCAGAGGGGGAGCTGGAGAAATCAGACGGGTAAACATGCCACAATGGCCGCAGAGAGCCCGGGGCCTGGCATATGCCACCCACCTGTCACGACAGGCACCTTCCCCCTGAAAGGAGCTGGCAGGTGAGGCCCCGTGGGTGCAGGGAGGGTGGCCCCTAGCACCCACACCCAAGGCGGGGGAGGGGTGCTGCCACCTGCTGAGGCACCTGCAGGCGAAGTGTTAAAAGTACGCAGGCCCGAGACCCAGGAACCCGCACAGACCATCAGGGAAGGTCACGGTGACATTTCTAAGAGCCCTACAATGCAGTCGGCAGCCACTCGGGTGCATAACCTTCAGACGCTTGTTCCAGGGCAATGCTTGGTGGCAGGGAACTGAGAGCGGACAGTGATGCCCAGTCGTCCATGACACGTGACGACTGCTGGTTTGAAGCCACTGCTGGAACAGAGTTGACGGTCATCTCTTAGCCTTTTGGAGGTGACACAGGCAAACCGAGGTCCCTGGCAGCGGGCAGCCACTAACCTCCGGCCACAGCCACCCCACTCATTTCGGGAACTGTGCTCATCTCAACAGAGAGGGGAGCCCCTGGAGGAGGGGAAGGCGACTTAAGTGAGACTTAAACAGAGGAAACTGTAAATGGATCTCGGCGAGTTAGTGGAAGCCTCTGAGAGAAGCAAAGTTAAGCGTTCGCCGTTTTAATAAAAAGTGGCAAAGTTCGCAGCAGATACACGAATGCGGACATAGAGAAGCTGGAACCACCACAAGGTCCAAGGTGGTGAGGTCCAAGATCAACGCGCAAAACGCAACCGCATCCCTACCAGGCAGCCGGCAAGTATTAGCAGACACGCAATACGTCTTTGCAGAAATACAAGGTTTCCGTCAGGAGCGGATCTCATAAAGCTTAAAATCTTTGGGGGAAAACGTGCCACTCAGTGAGAGACGTGAAGGGCCGGACAGATGGAGGCGACTTCCCTGCCTAGACGGTAACACGGGTGCCCTTGAGCTTGTCAGAAATTGTGGCCAGGAGCTCCGGCAGCCCTCAGGCCTCAGGGGACTCGGTGCCTATGAAAATGACCATTTCCCTGGGAAAGCAGCGCCAGCCCTCATTTGCATCTGCCTCCCAGGTCCCTCCTCCCTCCACCCCACCCCCTCTGCAGGGGACTCTCTCTTCCAGGGGCTGCTGTGTGCTCCCCTGCTGCCCCCACAGGCCAGGGGCCCCAAGGGGACTTCACTGGGCCTGTGGCCTCGGAGCCTCGCCCCAACCCACTGTCCCAACATCCCTGCCCACCCCCCCACAATCCCAGAATCCTCTAGCAGCCAATGGGGAGGCACTGGCCCACCAATCCTTCAGGGGCAGGTGCCTGACCAGGGACAGTGACCACTGTCCAGGCTGGGGATTGAGGCCCAAGTGTGTGGGACCATCTGCGGGGTGGGTGAGGTGGTGTCTCCCCCAGTGGACACAACTGCTTGGGGACGAGGCCTGAGTCCACACCTTCCTGTGGGTCCCCACACCCTGCTGGCCTGGGACAGCCCCCAGCGTCCTACCCATCTGCAGGTTTGCACCGAAGACCGTCCAGCGGGGCAGGGGAACCTTGGCCTCCACCCTAACCCAGCCAGTCGCTTGCAGTGCGATGGTGGTCGCGGTGCTATGTCCTCGCCTGGTAAAGGGACTGGTGGCCCCAGGCTCGTGGGGTTGGTTCCTGTCCCCGCAGGAGGCAGCACGAGTGGGTACAGTTCTGGAGGGTGTCTGACGGGCAGCTACTGTTGTCGCGGCCCTGTGCGTGGGCGCTCTGTAAAGCAGCCAGGCCTGGGCAGCCTGGGGCTCCAGGTCTGGGCAGGAGAACTCGGGGCGCGGCTGGGAACTGGCGTTGGGGGGCAGGGTCCCTGCAGCGACCTCCCAGCCGCCCCAGCACCCTGGCGGAGGCCCAGTGCCGCTTCCCGCCGGGCCGAGCTCCAGCTGCCTTGTCTCCTGCCTGCAGCTGGGCTTCTCTCCAACCAGAATCCTAGACAGCAGCCTCAGATCCGAGCCTGTTGCGCCCTACTGAAGACCCTGTAGCTGTGCCCAAGGTGTCAAGCCTCTGTGGGGGCCGTGCCTGCTGGCTACCATCCCGCCTCCTTTGCTTGGCTCATTCCTCTCTGTCCCAAAAGAACTTGGCCCTGGCATCCTCTCCCCAGGTTCTAGAGTCAGCTTGGGGGCCCCAGAGGGTCCCGCAGCCCCGTCTCTGCTCCCTCCTACCTCCAGCCAACCACACGGGCTGTCGCGGTTTTGAGCCCAGACTGGGAGCTGGCTGCTTGCTGGGCACGATCTCCTTGCTGAGACTGGGAGCACCTACCTCCTAGGGCTGTTGTGAGGACAGACTGACAGAATCTTCGTGGATGGGCCAGACGCGGCGACAGAGGGCAACAAAACCGCAGCAGCTGCCTGTGTCATCTCTGGCTCTCAGGGCACAGCCCAGGGCAGAGCGGTGTCTGTCAAATGACTAAGCAAAACCTGCTGCTGAGGCCACGGAAGCTGCCAGTCCAGGAGCCCTGCCTGGTTTTAAGCATCTATTTTTTTCCCAACAGATTTGCAAACGAGTGGCTTAAAACGCTTCTTTGGTGAAAGGAAGGCACGTCTCCCCGTGCTCCCCCACCCAGCGGGCGGCCCACACCTTAACCCTCCTACAGACTCAGTGGAAAAACCAGCCAGGAACCCTGTGTTGCCCACGGAGGTCGGATGCAAATCTAACCTCCGTGCAGCACAGAGCCGCCCCCACAGCCGTGAGGACACCTGCAGCCTTGGAGCACACAGCAGGGCGGGCTCCTCAGGGCGCCAGCTCCTGCCTGGCCTCGGTTTCCGAACTTGGGACGTGGGGAAGGGCCACCACCCTCCCAGGGCTGCGTGGAAGCGGAGTGAGAGCCGATGCAGCTGTACGTCTTGTGCAGAGACTGCAAAGCCCCGGCTGCAGGAGCAGGCCCTGCAGGGCGGGGAGGCATCTCTCAAGGCCCTGATGGGGGGGCGGGGGGTGCCGCAGACCCAGGCAGGAATCTGACAATGTCTATTTTGAAAACGGACAAACCCAGGAACAGAGGGTGGAAGGGGCCAGAGGGACCAGATGGGCCGTAAGGGGGGGCCAGTGGCGGAGTGGGCTGCAGGTCACAGGCTGTGCCTCCCCCGCACACACACTGGGACGTAGACAGCTGCCCCCCTCAGACAGTGGCCCCCCTTTGGGGCCCCACCGATGCTACCCAGTCACTGGAGTCCTGGGAGACAGGCCAACGGCTGCTGGGTGGACCCAGCTGGGTACCCTGGTCCTCGCCCAGTCTCTTCCAGGAGGGCTCCCCACCCAACCACCCATCCCAGCCACCGGCCCCACCCCCACCCACGAGTGCAGTGATGCCCCATCTGATGGAGCACCCAGCATGCAAAGCTCTGCGCACACACTCAAGCGAAAAATTCCTGACCTCGGCAGGACAGACCTGGGTTCCAGCCCCAGCTCCACGAGACCTGGACCTGACCCTCTGAGGCTGGCTCAGAGAGAGCTCTCCTGCGTGGGAACCACACAGCTGGCAGAACGTGGAGGAGGGTGGAAAGATACAGCTGTTACCTTCAGTGCTGCCTTGCAGGGCTCCAAAGGGACCCGAAGGGAACAGGAGCAGGCCGCCCTCGGTCCGTATCTACCCAAGTCACAAACGCACGGAACTTCTGTCCTCTAGACATGCATGTGGCATAAACCCCGGCATATACCTGGCTGCCCCCAAAAAGAGACACAGTGGGTCTGCACATGCCACGGTGCCAAGACCTTGAAGGCGCCCGGCCCCACAGGCGCAGTGCAGAGAGTTTGTGCCGATGGGTCCTGCGCTGCTGCTCGTGCGGAAAAACGCAGATGTGGACAGACAGACACTCCCCTCCGCACAGATCAGTCAGGAGGGTGAGCGGGTGCCTCTGGGACGGGTGGGAAGGAGACTGGACTTGTACTGCATATGCTTCTGTGCCCTTGAACTTTAGCTACCATGTCCAGGCTGGCGTCGCGGATGCAAAACAACAGCAAAAATCTCGGTTTCAAGTCAGCCACTTGCATTGGTCTGGAATGGAGCTGTTTGTCTTAAAGGTCTATTTCAGGAATGAAGCACCCAACCCCTCCTGCCCCCAGGCTCCGCCCACCTCCTCCCACTCCCTCCCCACCTGGCAGGGGAAGTCCGGACTCCAGCCTGGGCCCCTGCAAACCCACACAGGCCCCAACAGCCTGTTGAGGTGGG